CAGCAGCCACCTAACTATTGGACATTAAAAGTTACACTCTTGTCTCAAATAACATCAAATAGCTCAGTAGGTAAAATACATAATTGGGCTTTTTCTTACCTGATATTCCTCTTGGGTCTTCAAATCATCTGGTCTGGTCCAGTCTGTCTTGTTAGGTACAGGCAGTAGTCCCCACTACTAGTACTGCATCAGTCAGCAGCCACCTACAGTACATGTAACTACAATGTGTACAGACATTAAAAGTTACACACTTGTCTCAAATAATACCAAGTAAATGGTAGTTAAAATGCAGAATTGGGATTTTTCACTCCTATATAAGTCGGCAGCCACCTAACTAATAGTATGCAGACATTAAACGTTACACACTTGTTTCAAATTATACCAAGTAAATGGTAGGTAAAATGCAGAATTGGGATTTTTCTCACCTAATATTCCTGAGTCTTCAAATCATCTGATGTGGTCCAATCTGTCTCATCAGGTTTAGACAGTACAAGTCCCCACTACTGCATCAGTCATCATCTAACTATATACAGACATTAGAAGTTACACATTTGTCTCAACTCAAATTAACTGTAGGTAAAATGCACAATTCAGATTTTTCTCACCTGATATTCCTGATATTCGGTCTTCAAATCATTGGTTCAATCTGTTTTATCAGGTTCAGACGGAAGTTCTCACTACTGTATCTGCCATCATCTAACCATACATACATTATAAGTTGAACACTTCTCTCAAATTAAAAACTAGTAATGCGCAGACACACACCTTAAATTTATATATAATATCTTTACTTTAAAACAAACACATACCTAGACGAAAACTGTACATAATATGCATCTGTATCCTGTATCTGTATAGCCGGTAAAACCGCCTTTCAGCGTGACACACCAGCTTCGCAGGCAAACGGCGCGGCGGCAGCTGGCTATATTACACCGATCGACTTGTCCTTCGAACATCTAACTCTAGACACTGTTTAAAACTATCTAATGACAATACCCCTACTGTACTTGGTGACAGCGAATTCCACTCTGCGATAGTTCTAGGAAAGAATGCATTCTTGAACACCTCCATCCTTGGTTCATAACTCTGGTACTTGAAGGCATATCCGGCCGCATGGCTATTTCTAGTTCTCTTCTGGGCTGGTATTAGGTACTTAGTAATTGGGACGTCTACCAGTTTATTAGTCTTTTTTTTACATCATGCATAGTCTTGACATTTTTCTTCGGTCTTCCAGTGACACCCACTTTAGCTTAGTGGAATATGCTTTATGTGGAATACGAAAACACTCGGCGCAAAATATGTTTTGAAAACAGGAATTGTTACCTTCAAGCATAGTCAACTGTAGTGTTTGCGCCAGAAATACGTGGGCTTGGTCATTACTATTTACTGAATTGCTCTAAAATGGAAACGAACAAGCTTTTAAATCATACATAATACATTACAAATGATAATGAAGAACGAAAGTATGGTCACCTCGACATAACTAGTTTTCAACCGTTTTGTAGCGTATTCATTTCGGCGCCCTGAAGCTTTGAGGCCCCCATCTTGTTTGCGCAAATATTTGGCGGGAAAAATAACTGATTATGTACACGGCCACATTCCAACAGGTGTTTTGAACCACGTTGAGATAAAGAAAAAGGTTTGGTCGATACACAATTTCTTTCAACAAATATAACCTCAAAACGCTGAACAACTGACTAAAAAGACATGCACATACATTTTATATATACTCTACAAGCGCACCACACATTGAAAATGTTGTTGAAAACGCGGCAATTTGTTAGACTTTTTCTAAGCCTGTCTAAAATTTGGAACGGCCGCTATCGGCTCGTGACGCGAGACTATCTCAGATGGATTGGTGTAAGTTCTTCTATTTCAGGATCATTAATTTCACCCTCATTGAATAGTAATTGGTTGACCCATGCTCAAAGATCTGGTGTGGGTACGGTGTAAAATGAATAAACATTTGAATAAATGAAAGTGCCTTTTTATCTTCCTTTTAAGGAAGATAAAAAGGCCAATAATAATTAAAATTATTATTGGACCACGCAAATGCGCCCTCATCGGTTACTTAACGAAGTGCAGCGTTAACTCGTGGGGATAATTGCCGAAACTTATTATCGAAATTCTGTCTTTTTGCTTCATTTAACTTAAAGGAGATTTATCTATAATAGTCCGGAGAGTATCTACGACAATTTAAAGTACAACTTACCACTAAAGCGGGCATGGCGCGTCTTCCTGGGCGTAATTGTTACCCGCTCGTTCTTCCCGTCCATGTACACTCGCCATCTTGGAAAGCTAAAGGCGTGTTTCACGCACACGTGTCATGCCACCTGTAAATCATGAGCAAAATTTGCATTCGATAATCAAGGTTTTTAAGATTAGATTTACGACAAGCCAATAGGCAATCATCACAGATACAGGCCTGAAAAATAAAATGATTTAATTATGACTTTCATCTTACAAATACGAACTTTTCAATTTTTCTATCCTCATCATTCAACTTTATAAATTTAGGAAAACACACGTTAGTAATTTTCCAAAAAATGATCTTTCTTTGACCCGTTTATCTTTTGATTGCGATAACAACATTTTCTAGCTAGTAGGTGACAACGTGTAATGACTCGGTACAACAAGAGTAAATTGCACGCGACGTACGTGTAAAATATTACATTTGCGTAACTTAGATCTTTGAGTGTTCATTTCTCTTTATCGACAATTGTTAAACTGAAAATCCAATTCTTCCCATATCATAGTATCAACGATAAGATCACAAAGTTACAAAGTATAGCCGAATATAACCGAAACGTCCGCAATTTAGCTAAAAGGACGCTTCTGGCGTCAAAAGTTATGCAATAAAATGGCCATTTTACAGTTCTTAGCTGAGCATTAATTCGATTAAAAGGAGGGCCAATCAAATCAACGGATATCGTCTGATAACGAGGCTAAAAAATATGCATACATTAAGTCCAGGTGCCGTTACGTCATGCGAGGTAGTTACGTAATCCTCCAGGCGAATCATGTAGATACATGCATGTATTGTTAAATGTAGGCAGGATTGGGTGTAAATCTTAGCGTTTAAAGTAAAAATAACGCGAACGATTATAGAACTAGTTGTTGCAATATTTTCTATATGATCCTTATTCACGTGTATGTGTTTTCTGGACGCTTAGAACTGATAACAAGAACAAAATCAAGGAAAATATGTTCAGTAGCGAAAAATGAAACAAACATCAATAAAACGCATAAACGCATAAACTTTTCGTTCCAGTTTTTCCACCAAACCCTTTCTAGAAGTGTAATAATTCATACCTGAGGTGTCCAGAAGAATCTTTCCATCCCTGGCAAACGTGCACCCTTCTTTACAAAGTTTACTCCCTCACGTTTTAATTAATTGGATGCTGTGATGCATCCACGGCGCCATAATGTCAATTCATCACACGTGTCAATGAGGGCCTCTAGCAGTTCATGAAATTATTGCAGGTACTTGAGGAGATTTTTTTTACATGCAATAATTTCACCGGCTGCTAGAAGTCGCTTTTGATACATGGCGCAGAGGGTCATTAGCCTATGTATCCTTGATGCTGATTGGTTATCATCACGGCAAAGTTTTTGAGTCATTGAGCTGGATTGGCTAATACAATTCCTCGTTGGTGATTGGTTATAAACAACGATGACGTGTCACTTTACGACCAAATATGGGCAACCGATTTGAAACCATAAAGCCGCTTTACGTAAACAACTGAAGTTACGAAGGATTTTCGGACGAACGGGACTATTGTGGGCAATTTTGTTCCCCCAGATAAGCTACAGAGTTGTAAGAACTGCCTTTACAGAGAAAAGGAGCCGATTTATGAGGTTAGGAGAGGTGGAAATGCTCGGTTACGGCGTAATATTACTGCGAACAGGGGAGGGGGACATTATGTGAGGATAGCTTTCAGCACCAAGGACAGGGGTAGCTTCAATTTGAACCTGGTCTTTTCTTCATGACAACAAACTGAATATTATCACAGTGACGAAGAATGTACGAAGGAAATCAATTTGTTAATTTTTCGGTGTCATTCTCAATATCATATCAATGGAAACAGAGCCTCTGCCAGGCGTATAACTATGGCAATTCCCAAGCTGTTACGATTTTACCTTCCACCATGCATCTGCTTGGTTTTCATTCATATGGTAATGAGTTCGACATAACATAAGTTCACACACACACAATCCTGCACACTGTCAAAGGGTTTTATTGTTTAGACGCATTTGCCACCTGTACAATGCAGACATGGAGGGACATGTGTCTTGTAAAGTCATCAACACAGCAAGTCCCAGATAGATATCACAGGTTTGGTAGTATCAGATGCTATGGCCATGACATTACAAGGGTTGTGCTAATGCTATGATGTACTTTTGCATTATTGCTTTGTACATGTATCTAGTCTACTGAGATATTGTACGAGGGAGGTACATGTACCACTAACTCGGATACGCACGCAATTTAGTTTTCAGAGCTGTCCAAGCTTGCCTGCCTAGCTGCCTGCTTTACTTCACTATAGTCTACAGACGTTGGCTATCCAACTTGGAATGTTGCACAATCATTATAAGATCATAGTTCTACAGTTCTCCACTGATTTTCTGTCATCATTCACAATGATACATCAGGTTAGAAAATTATGACTTTTTCCATCAAAATCTGACCATCAATAAAGACAGCTAACATGATGTTCCTCATGAAATGAGAACTGATGCTAAAATATTTTTCTCTAAATGCATGTGTGCATCATGCTACAAACCTACCTTCTTCAACTAACAATTATCAAGCTACATGTACACTTACAAAACTACAAGTGACACGTAAAAGGCGTCCAATACAATTTTAGGGCGGCAAAACAAAATATTTTCTAGATGAGGAAATCGGTCTGATTCACTGTCATTTCTTCACACATTCTAATACATTTTGTACCAGAAGCATTTGATGTAGCCCCAAAACAAGCTACATGTGCATTGTATGTGAGGAGTCCCTTTATTTTAAAGTTCTGACAACAAATAGCTAGAACCAGCCTTTTATACAAAATACGCAACTGTTTTCTGTCAGCAAGATTGCATTTTTGACTCACAGATATCTACAGTTGCTTTGGGATTGGGTTGATTCAACCTACAGTAACTACAATCCAGTTCTACTGCCCTGAAACTGTTTTGGGTGCCTTTAATGTAGGTAACATTACTACATTACATGTAATTCCTACCGATATAACCTTATCAATATCTAAAGGAAAGTATATCCAAGTTAAATCGATCAAAAGTCTCGTGCCAAGACATCGTGGATGTAGGGGTTGTCTCGAGCCATGACCTCTTCCTTCAGCTGCTGGACAGCTGCCTGTGCCTCGTCTGCTGTCATGGTGGCCAGCGGCAGGTCCTTGACCTTGGACAGGAAGTCCTGTATGATAGCCTCTCCCTCCTGGGGTACAACAAAACATCTTATCAAGCTCTGGACATGTCACAAGGCAGTATTATACATTTGTGTACTGTAACATTAACTTCCTCGACTGCAATTTTTGGGAACAGGTGCACGGAACCTGTAAAAATTGGGTGCGCAAAAAAAATTTGGGTGCACCATTTTCAAGTAGAATGTCAGCAAAACCTTACAAATTATCACAAACCTTACTAAAGCAGGAATGACCAATGTGTGAAAAATCATACTTTATTAATGAAATGCATATTAGTAACAATCAAAGGAAATTTTTTTTTAAATGTGTACAAATCCAACAAATTAGCTTCTTGATCAAATCACAATGTGACAGACAAAGGACCCAATACATAATATAAAAAACTAGAGTTCCACGATCTCATACCTTCGCCAAATGAAGTTAGCCTTTATGAATAAGAAATTATATATTAATCCCCCTCATTATGCAAATAGGATCCTCAATTGCATGAATTATATCTGTTGATCATATTCTACACCAAAAGACAGTCTTATCTTAACAAAGAATGCCATCATAGCATTTCCTCATAAATTATGCAAATGTGGTCCTTATTTGAGTAAGTTATGTTTAATTATGCTCACCTTCACTTAACTTTCAAACACCCCAAGTATGAAATTCAAGGCAGTTACCACCATGCAATTATAACATTTTCTCATTAATTATGCAAATTAAGTCTTCATTTGCATAATCGATATCTGCCTGTGTTTCTCTCGTTCTTAATAACATATGTTACAAGCTTGGACTTCCAATAATGGAATGCAGCTGATTTAGAGAATTTCCTCATTAATTATGCAAATTACATTCATATTTGAATAATTGTAATCTCATTATGTCAAGCATCACTTAAGCTACCTACATACCAAAATTCACGATGATCCATCAATCGGTTCTTGAGTTATCCTCTTTTAAACATTTGTCCTTTAAACCCCCCTGCAGTTCTAGAGCAAGCAACTAGGGGGCTCAAACTCATGTCACTTTATTCGCAGCACAAGAGCTATCTACCATCCAAATTTGGTTACCCTAGCTTGTCTGTATCATGAGATATCAAAACCGGAAGTTCTGCTGCAGTACCATGACAAGCCGCCAGGGGGCCCAAAATCTAATCATTTTGAGGTCTCATCAAGACCTACCCAACTACCAAATATCAAGTCAGTCCATTTAAGCCTTCTCAAGTTATCGTGTTTACACACACACACACACACACACACACATACACGAACGCCTCTGAAAACATAACCTTCTTGGCGAAGGTAATTAAGATCGCATGACCAGTGACCAGTGAATCACCGCAACAACAACAACAACAAAAAAGAAGTTTGTTAGCTTAGAAAAATACCTTTGATGTCGAGAACATGCTGTATACTAGTATATATTTAATATATTTACGTACGTTAACCTACGAATGCACCCAGTATTTTGAGCCCTGATATACCAACCTGTTTGGCCAGTCTTCGTTTCTTGGCAGCCACAGCGTCTGTCCCCTCCATGGCAGTTCCACTCAGGGAGATACTCTGGTAGTCTTCCAGCTCCAGGGCCTTCTGTCGGGCAAACTGTGCAAACCAGGAACAACAACTTATCATCTTATATGTCATCCTGACAGATAGCTGGCTTCTCTACCTGAATTATGATTAAGAACGAGATCGAACAATATTTTGTAGTGTTAAGTACATTTTATGTTATGTACAGTTAAAAAGTAATAAGTAATTTAGACAGTCGAACAAGGCCTAGGAAAATAAATGTAATGTTTCCAGTCTCAGTCCTGAAAAAAAATTGGATCGGCAATCTTACATAGGGATTCTCTTATTCTTTTTTCAAATCTTTTCTTAGATTTCTGCTGAAGTGATCCACCAAATATAGTTAAAAAATGTAAAACCAGGACTGTCCCCAGGACTAGTCTGTCCATTTGCTTGTGGGGAAGGGAAAAAATTAATATTTCTGAAAATATGTGCACTTACATTTCAGAGCATTGAAGTTCAGATGCCACACTGAAAAGTATATGATATTGCCAGTGGTCACCCCCCCCCCAAAAAAAAAAGGCTACGATGTGCGGGTTTTTGCTGGGGTCGGTTGGGAAATCCAAAAGTGACAAAAATACAACATTTTGTTTATACAGTGCCCAGTTACTTCTTCCATATCGATCATACAAAGAATGTGAAGTGCATGATTATACATTGATATTATAGGTGTCCTTACCTCAATGACTTTCTCTGGGAAGTGTGCGAGTTCAGCCACATGGATACCAAAACTCTGATCACAAACACCTGTCAAAAACAGCATACATGTACATGTACCTTCAGCTCAATGATAATGATATTACATAAATGCATAATGTTTTTCTCAATCGGACATGATCATCATATGGTCTGCGCTGTTAACTCATACTCAAACACATTGAATTCATATATGTATATGGTGACAGGAGTCTAAATCCCTCCTGCTTAAAAATTGCAACATGATGCAACCCAACACTAGTTACCATGGTGACAGATGTCTGGTTCAGGTCATTAACCTTATTTGTTTGGAGAAGAAGGAGGAGAGGAGGAAGAAGAAACAGAGCAAAAACAATATGTTTTTCTTCTGCAAAGGTAAACATAACAATGCCATGACCATAATTTAATGTAGTTTGCCATCACTCTACTTTTAATGAATTCAATTCAGAATTAATTTCACAGCATCATAAATTGCTTAGACGATGATATTTAGTTCAATACCTGGTTTGACCTTGTAAAGCAAGGTCAAAGTTCCCCCTGTGGTCAGGGCGGTGACGTGGAGGTTGGTTGCCGTGGGAACGACGTCGGCCAGGGCGGTCAGCTCGTGGAAATGTGTGGCGAACAGACAGAAGGCGCCGATCTTTGTTGCTATGTGTCTGGGAAATATTCATACCCTATTTAGTGTAGATCTCAAACTACAAAGAAAATTCCTTGCACAAATAAAGAAAATAATGATTATCAAAGTTAGGGCTATTCCTTTTAAAACTCTGACGAACATTTTGACGCGCTTCCTTCATAATATTGTCTATTCCATACACCATCTGCAAAAGCAAATGCAACTTCACATGGTCTAGCCTAACAAACTACTGCTCTGTCTCATATACTAGTACTAATTTAAAGTATATGGTGACCAGCCCCTCCAACACTTGCTACATAATGTAATCCAACACCACAGGCTAAGGGTGTCTGCTACAACTTCAGGTACCATGGTGACGGCCATCTGGTCCAGGACATTGACCTTTATTGTTTGAAGATGAAGAAACAGAACAAAAGCAATATTTTTTTGTCTCCAAAGTGATCATAATTACTGGTAGTACATTGTAGGTGTTCCCTAGACTTACTCTGATATGGCCCAGGCCAAACCAAAGCCATCGTAAGTTGACGTCCCCCTGCCAAGCTCATCTATGATGATAAGAGAGTCCTTGGTAGCAGACTGTGAAGGATTTACAGTACAATATTGTTGATGACACATTAATATGAATGTATGCATGTATGCAAAAAAAGCATAAATCAACACAAAAAGCATAAATCAACACTGAAAATCAACACAAAAATTTGCCATGAATTACACTTACTTATTTTTACCTCTAATCATTTTGACTTTTTGATCCATGCATCTACATGTATAAAGTGCCTTGTATATGTATGGTTTGGCGGTATTTCTCGTGCAACGCATCACACCGCAGCGAAATGCAACGAATGTGGAAATAACTATGCCACCACAGGGCAAAAAAGTCAAGGGTCTATGACCTGGTTAAGACATCAAATTATTTGAAAATAAAATATGCCAGCAGGACAAGGGTTAAAAATACTTGAGTCATAACTGTGGGAAATTATGAAAATAAGCAAAGCTCTAGAAACGATCTCATACTCACCCTAAGGATGGATGCTGTCTCCAGCATCTCAGACATGAACGTGGACACACCCTTGAGTTGGCTGTCTCCTGCACCAACCCGGGCCAGGATACAGTCCACGATACACACCTCCGCAGAGTCACATGGTACAAAACAACCAATCTGGGCCATCAGCACATTCACTCCAATCTAGTCAGGGAATAGAAGATTTAGTTTCTGCACTGCTAGTAACAGTAGAGCTGAAATGAGTTCACATTTTACCTTAGCACAAAAGGAAAACATTTTGCTCAGAGTCTGTTACTCCTTCTTCTCAAACCAATAAGGTCATTGACCTGGACCAAATTGCTGATGCTGTAGCGGACATCCTGTGGTGTAGGATTACATTATGTAGCAAGTTGGAGGGGCTGGTCACCATATAAATGAATGTCTTTGAGAAAGAATGAACAGATCTGTAGTTGAGCTATACATATGAAGGTAAACATTATGTAGTTCCTTTGTAAATTTTCTGGTTATTCCTAAAGTATATCAACTCTAAAGGCTGTGAATCCATTTTAAAGAGGAAATTATGATCAATCTTTAAAAAAGAGGAAGCTACAGCATGATTGGTGATCATTCCTCAAGATAGGCAGTCCATGGATTTTTGTGTTCTAAATCACTTTCCATTGGTTGGGACAGATGATGTCATTATTTATCAGAGTTGTGATTGGCTGGAGTTTTTAAATTAATTACCTGTCTGATGTATGTAGATTTCCCTCCCATGTTAGGGCCGGTCACAATAAGGAACATCTGCTCATCTGAAATGTAAACAAAATTCATTCTTTCCTAGAACTAACGCAGAGTGGAACTCGCTGCCACCAAGTACAGTGGGGGCATCGTCATTAGATAGCTTTAAACAATGTTTAGGTTTAGTTGTGCAAAGGTTAGGTGTACCAGGTCATTCGATGTAATATAGCCAGCTGCCGCTTGTATCTGTATCAGTATAGCCGGTATAACAGCCCTTTGGCGTAACACACCAGCTTCGCATGCACGCGGCACGGCAGCAGCTAGCTATATCACACCGAACGACTTGTTACACTCAATCTTTGCACATTTAATTGCAGGAGTTGAAAACTTTCTGGTGATTTTTCCCCAACTGTGCTTGGTGGCAACGAATTCCAGTCTACAATAGTTCTTAGGAAATACCAGTTTTTGAACATGATTCTTGTATAACCTATACTGGCTATACAGATACAGATGCAGATACAGAAAAAGATACTGACCTCTGTCAAAGCTGGCGTCATTGGGGATGAACTGCACATCATCCTGTAGTTCCAGACAGGGGTGGCGAGCATTCACCAGTTTAATGCCCCCCTCCCCTAATGACATTGGGACAACAGGTCATTAGCAGAGATTCAGTTCTGCTGTTCATTTTCAAAGACATTATTCATAGAGGTGTGTCCTAGTGTATTTCATACAGTACAGGTCTCGAATAACTACATGTAATCTATAAACATCCAAACTGCAATTGAAACGTCATGCAAAGCACAATGAAAAGCCATACATTTTTAAAAGTAATGCACAAGACATTGTTTTACACAGCTTTTGCATGAGTTTTTACCGTGTGTTACACAGTTTTTACACAGCTTTCAGTTGGGACTTAATGCAATTTACACAACTTTTTTACATGAAACAAACGAGTTAAACTGCATGTAAAGCACAGTGGTAATTAATTAATAAGGAAGTTAATTGATATCTGTACTGTACTTTAGTTCCTGAGTATAGTAAAAATGATGTTTAACTTTGGTTACAGACTACTTTTAGCAAAGTAAACTTTTTTCCTGATTTGCTCTTTCTGTAACATTGCATCTTAATATGATTCTAAAGCAAACCTACCTTTCTCTGTCAGCTTAGGCCTGACGTATGGTATTGGAGCATTGGCTGAAGCACAGGCAAAACTGCAGAAACAGAAAAGTTGACAAGAAAGATGCTGCATTAAAAAGAGAAATGCTACATGTACATAAACAGTACGTACAATGTAATTGTCCTATTGAAGATGACAAATGGTCATTGAAACATTGGCTCTTGTTAAACAAGTAGTTGTGAATAAAGAACTTTGCTATCAATCACTGACCTGATTAAATCATTTACAGTACAGCAACTTGTGCCAGTGGGTATTTCATTAACTTCAAGATCTAAACAAATCATTTACTAGTAATACACACGTTGTGAGCAAAAATTGTTAAATGTACCTACCTGACCAAGGCATCCAGCTGTGCAATGACGTCACTCAGGCTCCCCATAGGTTCCACATATCCAGCTGTAGTGGTCACAACAAATGACAAAAATTCACAAAGGCACATGTACATGACAACAATTCAGTTCTTTCAAGAGAGTGTCACTCTTAACTGCATTTTCATACCCTTAACTTTGAAATAACAGCGTTTGGTCCACAGCTAAGAAGAAGAATAATTAAAGACCCAGTAGGTTTTCCTTGAAAGAGGTAGCAAGGTGGTCTTGTGGCTAGGGTTGTTTGTGGATTCGAATCCCTGGCAGGCCCCAATGTTGTGTCCTTGGGAAAGGCACTTAACACCTATTTCCTCATTCGACTCAGGTGAAAATGAGTACCTAGCTTCATTTAGGGGTATCCTATTGGATGGTACATAAACCTGGAGGTCCTGTGTTTGAGAGCCACACCTTGAGCATGTTAAATGATACATGAATGAATGAACAAATTAGACTCTACGATCTCATACCTTCACTAAATGATGTTCGTGCTGCACAAAAAAAAACTCATAAAAAGCCTCATAAAAAGCCTGCTGCAGCACCATTGGGAAATGCCAGGGGAACCATTTTTGACCTTGAGCTACATTTCCACAAACCCTTAACACCTACCTTATAAATTGTTAAGATCCATCCACAGCTTCTTGAGTTATGCTGCTTACATACATACAAACCCACACCATGGCCAAACCGAAAACCTTCTTGTCAAAGGAAATTACCCTACAGGCCACAGTAGCCCATGTACTGCCCACCTGCTATGCCTAGAATCTCGTCCACCACTGCCTTCTGTGTGTCAGCGTACGCCTCTTTGGCCTTCAGGTACTCCTCGTTCATCCTCTGCAGGTCATTGTCTGTAAACTTGACCCCGTTCTTACTGGTCTCCAGGGTGCGGTACGTCTTGTTTCCACGGAGAGCTTTCTCCTCCTGAAGTGAAACAAGCAGCAGTGGTCAAAATACATTATTTCAATGTTCTGCAATACTACAGAATGTCAATATTGTTCTGCAATTTGGAAGTACTTTCTGCAAATACAGTAATTTATACACTTTGATTCAAACCCATACAAAATTGCATGTTGGCAAACATTTTACATGCAATTTGATGAAAAATACATGCATAGTTAGTATATCATTAAGTCAGTAGTAAGCACAATCAAAGCTCCTACACAATTTCAACAGACACAATTGAACCCCTATCCTGACTATTTAAGTCTGCAAAATTGCAGACTTAAATTTTTCTTCTGCAGCATTTAATTCCCTGCAAAATGCAGATTGCAGATGGGTATTTCTAACACTGAAGCATGTAATAAAAAAACTGAAGATGAATTTCACTTTGTTATGACGAGAGAGATACACTGATACAAACTTACTGCTACTTCACCCTGTCTGATACACAGAACAATACTTTCCATAATATATTGTTACTGTTGTCATGTCAAACTCCCATATCTGCCTACTTAATTATGTACATATGTCAAGTGCATTCCAAAAGCAAGATCAAAACATTCATACATGACTGTATTGTAACTCATATATTGTTATTGATAATACTTTCTAGCCGTAGGAAAACTATGACAATTTCTAATGATTGAAAAGACATTGTATTCTCATGACTGAAGAAAAGTCACTTACCTTGAGTGTGACCCTGAAGTGATAGCCCAGCTGTGTGCTTGTCTCTAACTTCAGAACCTTGTTTGGTTCCAGCTTCAGGTCCCGAGCAGCCTGGTAGGATTCATGTCACAGTGATACATTATAAAGAGCTAAACCATTGTTGTTACACCAACTGCACTTCACTGTAGTCTACAGCAGTAGCCAATGCGTGCATTTCCAATGTAGCAGTAAATTCCAATCACAACTAGAATGGTAACATTTGTGAAGCAATGCATGATGTTTACCTTGTTTGCATATGGTCTGCTCTCTTAATTCTTACTCAAACACATGATTCATATATATATATATATATATATGGTGACATGAGTCTAAATCCCTCCTGCTATAAAATTGCAACATGATGTAACCCAACAATAGTTACCATGGTGACAGATGTTTAGTTCAGGTCATTGACCTTAGTTGATTGGAGAAGAAGAAGAAGAAGAGGATTCCAAAGAAAAACAGAGCAAAAACAATATCTTTAAAGGTAAACATAATGAATAACCTGTAACTCACCTCATTCAGGTGACTTTTGATGTCTTCATCAAGCTGGTTCATCTTCGCTCTCAGCTCTGGAAATGGGAAACAATTTGCAAAGGAAGTTAACAGGGGGAACACAGTCCTTCCTCATTCATAACTTACAGCAGCATGAAAAATGACAATTCATTCCAACATTTTTACACAACTTTTGTCATGAAATGTCCTCCCTCCGAACATTACTATATGACTTTTATTACGCAACAATGTACATGGTACAAAGTTTACTTAACTAGCCCTATGTAGAAGTTCAGAACTGGCCATAGCACGTTGGCAGAATAGTCTCTGCCTTCAGAAAAGCCGTAATGTACTGTGCATAGCAATATGGCAGAATGCCTTGTTTAAGCTTGTATTTGTGCATTTCAGGATGACATCCCATCTATAGTTTATAAATGTTGTGTCAGAAAAGATATCGTCTGCAACGGGCAAGAATTCTAATGCCATGTTGACCAAACATTCCAAGAAAGCCGTGAAAAATCCAGGTTTCACACAGTATGTTCTGCTAACATGCTGGTGGCCCCTACCCTCTCAGAGTAGCACCTTCTCTCATAACATTCAAAAGACTTTTGCAACTGTGACTGACTCTAACAGACCGATTATGGACCTAATGACGTGATGACCAGTTTTTGTTACTGTTGTTTATTTATATTCATTCATTTATTCCTTGTGGCACAAAACAAACAAAACAAAACAAACCCTTGAGGTTGTCATCGAAGTCAGGTTTGATGACAAACTCGTGTTTCTCCACCCTCTCCATGTCCATGGTCGTCTCTACCATCTCCTGGAACTTACGGAAGTCATACAGAAGCTCCTGTTGAGGAAAAACCAGTTTTAGCCAGCTCATATGAACAGTGTTTTTTTTTTTACTTTAACCCTTGTCCTGCGGGGCCCATATATATATGGGTTGCACATACAGTACCATCTATATAGCACCCTGTATATGTGCGATTTGGGGGTGTTTCTCGTGCAACGCATCACACCGCAGCGAAACGCAATGAATGCGGAAGTAACTACGCCGCCGCAGGGCAAAAAAAGTCAAGGGTCTGTGACCTGATTAAGACATGAAATTATTTGAAAATATTGTGTAAAAATTGCCAGCAGGACAAGGGTTAACATCAACTATAAACAATTAAAGACGATGACACGAATAATGCTGAAATATAGTTTCTGAAAATAGTACCTTGATAGGGTTGGAAAACAGCTCCATGAGAAGGCTCTTGTGTGTCCCTTCATGTTTCTCTAGAGCCTCGGTCAGGTGGGGAATGATGTTCAGAGCCTGGTACACCCTGTAACAGTCCTGTAGGAAATAAACAAAACTGACTAAAATACCTCAAACACATCCGAGTAATGTGACAACTGTATTTTGAATCTTAGTCTGCCTCAACTGAATTTTTAGAACACTGCTTCATTCCATGTGTAGAAAAAAACTGCTAGTCGTTTTATGTGATATTGCTGCTTAAAAGTCAGTGGCAGAATTATCACAAAGGGCAGACTATGAGGGTCCAACCAGTACTAAGGACATACAGGACACTGGCTATCCAATCAGCACTAAGGACAGGGCAGTGGGCATCCTATCAGCACTAAGGACAGGGCAGTGGATATCCAATTAGCACTAAGGACAGGGCAGTGACTATCCAATCAGCACTAAGGACAGGGCAGTGACTATCCAATCAGCACTAAGGACATGACAGTGACTATCCAATCAGCACTAAGGACAGGGCAGTGGATATCCAATCAGCACTAAGGGCATCCCTGTTACTGCCTAACCAGAACTAAGAAAAGTCTGTGACTGCCCAATCAGCACCAAGGAGAGGTACGTGACTGCCCAATCAGCACCAAGGACAGGTACGTGACTGCCCAATCAGCAATACGAAAAGGTCTGTAATTGCCCAATCAGCACACACCATTACAAAATTCACCTGTATGGCAGTAACTAACATGAGTAAGGAGTGTCTCAAAACACAAAGATATAATCTCTACCTCATATGCATCATTGTTAATTACAGCTATATTGTTGTTCATCATGATCCTACCTGTAGATTGGCCCTCTTCCTCTGAAACTTCTTGGCCAGGCGATGGAAGTCTGGGACCTTTCGCAGCTGTTCCTCCTGGGGCAAGAATGCACAAGTCTGACATCAAGAAGTATCCATCCTCCTTTAATAATTATAGCTTAATCAAATGTAATAACACAATCATACAAGAACAGTCTGGTAAAAAAGAATTTGTTAAAACCACCAATACCTGAAGTGTCTGCCTGAGTTCTGAGTCCTCAACAAGAGCTTCCACAACATTCAATCTCTCCTCTGGAAAATTCACCAAGAGATAACATTCAGAATATCACAATATTATGAGATATTATGCACAGAAATTATCAAATATCAAACAGAATCCCAAAGATATAGAAGTCCTTTCATGGTAAATCTATGAAATCTGTTCGCCACCTTACAGCCTCTCTCACAAGGAGTTTAAATCCTTTCTGCTACAGAATTGCAACATGATTTAACCCAACACCAGTTACCATGGTGACAAATGGCTGATTCAGGTCATTGATCTTATTTGTTTGGAGAAGAAGAGGAAGAAACTGAGTAAAAACAATATATTTTCCTTCGGTAAACATAATAAAACATGAGACAAAAACTGACCGATCCTGTTCTTGTCCATGAGAGGCTGTTTGACCCACTGGGTGAGAAGCCTGTGACCTTGAGACGTCCTACAGTGGGTCAGCAGTCCTGCCACGGACTGGAACCTGTTACCACCTGTACAGGGGCATAGTATTACATGTACCTTTAGTTATTACAAATTACAATGATTTTGGACGCCTGCTTACAGATTACGAAAAATAAAAAGCCCTGATTACACCTTACAAAAAAAGAATTCGGAGACCTCATACATGTACCTCCATGAAATATGAGTTTTTGTCCTTATTAATTATGCAAACGACATCTACATTTTAACATAATATATGCATAATAGGAGACCCATGTTTGACCTTGACCTTTGTCTTTCCAAGACTTACCAACATACCAAATATCATCACAATCCATAAAGGTGTTCACAAAGTTGCGGAAACACACACAGACAGACAGATAGGCACGCCAAAAACAATACCTCCATTTTTCAAGGAGGTAAAAAGGGCATGCAGGCATTCACCAAAGGGTAAAATGTAGTTCATATTACCAAAAAACAATTATTCTAGACCAACAGAAAAACTAGCCCTACCGTCCAGTGACGTTGGGAGCAGGTTGAGTGCTCGGACTGCGGCGGCGTCCAGTCTCATGTACTGGTTCAGGTCAAAGGTCTCCAGCTTAAACTGACCAAAGTTGGTCTCATCACCCAAAAGCTGGAGAAACAGAAAACCTGTCATTTATATCTGTTGGTACCTTGGGGTCTCTGGACAGTGTGATTCATACAACAGTTAGCTTGCACTTTGACTTTTCGCATTTTGATGCAGTCAAATGGTGCCTTTGGTAGGTCAAGAGTTCGATCCCTGACCGAGACTAGGATACAGGAGTTTTCTTTTACACAACCAAGATTTCTCACCTAAGTGCTGATGTTTCGGTGTCTATCAGACACCTTCCTCAGAGCTTCTTACTAGAGTTCTGCTTCTTGCCGCTATTTGTAGCCGATGTAGGTGGCGTTTGGGATTGTGTTCTCGCCGCAAAAGCGCCACCTACATTGGCTACATATAGCGTCGAGAATCAGAACTCCAGTCAGAAGCTCTGTCTTAGAAGAAGGTGTCTGATAGACACCGAAACGTCAGTACTTAGGTGAGAAATCTTGGTTGTGTAAAAGAAAACTCCTGTATCCTATACTTTACCAACCATTCCAAAATAATTTTTGGAAGTCATACCAATGACTTTTAAAAATGGTGCATTCAGCTTTCTCTGCTTAGCACTCAGCATTAGGAAAGAGTATGGGATTGCACAACTGTGTGGTACAAATGCAACAGAAACTTTGATTTTGAGTTAGCTAGCTTACACAATATTCCATCATTAACAACATAAAAAGCAAAAATGAAGGATCCATAGAAAAAAAGCAAAAGGAAAATGAAAAATTGAAACATACTATTGAACAAATGTTTCTATTCTTTATTTTGCATGAAAATGAAGTATGATACCGGACAGTGAGTGAGTGTGTGTGAGTGTACATTTCCACAGAAAGGCCTTACCTCTAGGTACTTGATAAGTGCAGACACAGACGCCATGGCTGTTGTCTTCTCTAACTCAGCTGGAGAAATAAAAACAAACAAATATTTTGAGCAGTCCAACAAGCTATACAATTCTTAGTCTGTTTCTATCTCAATGGTATTCCCATCCCAAGCTATATATATATATATATATAAAGGGACCATGATAGGTAAATACGACATCCTAATTCTAAAAGAAAACCTAGATGCATTTTCCTTGCATATTATCAACATGATACTCTATGGATATAATAGTTGATAAGCCAGATGACTTTGAGTTGAGTATTCACTGTATATGCATATGAACTAATCATTACAAGAATGTACAGTGTACTAATTATTATGAGAATGTATGTCTGAAGTAATCAAAGAAAACTCACGGAGTGCAGCAGAGTTGACCTGTTCCCCTTTAGTTTTGGGCTTCAGAAGTCGGTTCAAATCCTGGACATTGTCCTTAGTAGAGTACTCAGCTGAAAGAGGAAGAAGAACATATTCATGTACATCCAAATACATTTCTGCAAGTATATTGTGGTACTGGTGGATAATGAATCAACACCATCCCTTTCCTACCCACCTACTAAATTTCCACACATTCTATCTATAGCATAAGGCCCATTCTTAAATTTGAACTTAGTCTCCTCAACAGTAACTTGCCTACCAAAAATCATGAACATCCGTCCATGGCATCTAGAGTTATTCTGTTCACAAACAAACAAACAAACACAAAAGGTCCATTGCAGTAATGTAGGAACCTGCCATAAGGCCCATTCTTGAACTTGACTTTCGTCTCCCCCACAGTAACCTGCCTATCAAAAATCATGAACATCCATCCATGGCTTCAAGACTCAAGGAAGAAAAGTTAATTTCAAGGCCTGTTCCACTTCTGATATTACCAGTTGGTACGTACCTTTCCTCCTCTCCGTGATGAGCAGTCCGTTGCGCTCCAGGACGATCCTGAGCCGGCCCATGTCAGGTGTGTTCTCACCGGCGGGGATCAGGCATTCCTTCGGTCCTGTCTGAATCACCAGGGCCTGGAGGAGGGTTCAGGGATCAGAAATGTCAGATGGCCTAAAAGTTGTAAGGCCTAGGAAAATTATTGTTGTGTTTCCTGTCAGTCCTGACAAAACTAGTGTTGGTAGGTAGGGATTTTCTTTTTTCTTTTATCTTAAGATTTTGGCTAAAGGGTTTCAACAAATAAATCTAATTTAATAAAGAAATGCATTGGCAACAAATATTTGACCCAGTTTACTGACGAAAAATTTGCTTCTGAAAATGATGTTTCAGAAATTCAGACGGTTTGAAATTCAGAAGTCAGACAGATAAATTTTATAACCTCACAGGTCTATAGTTTTCAAATGTTGTGTCAGAAAAGATATCGGCATTGGGCAAAATTCTGATGCAATGTTGACCAAACATCTGACGAAAACCGTAAAAAATCCAAGTTTTGCATTTGCAGTATGTTCTGCAAATGTGCTAACGCATATCAAAGTTATTGAAGCATTTATCATTGCTATGATAAATCTAGCATAATTTGAAAGTATCGTACCTCCAGGTTGGAAAACTGGTCGTTGTCCACAAACTCACACACCCCCAGCTGCCTCATGGTAGCGTCCGCGTACCCGGCACCGACCACCTGCGGACAAAACCAACATGGCGGATGTACGCTGGTCCATGTACTGGGTTTATATGCAACATTGTTTCTTAACACTTAACTTCCTAAATTCTAAGTGGCGCAATCTGTCTGGTGTTGGTAATTCTTGATATTGCCTGTACCAGTACAGGTGTAACAGTGTACATGTACAAAAATGTATATTGTTAATACCATAGGGTAACAATGACAATAGAAAGCATTGTATTCTCGCCGGTTCTAACCCCTCCCTCGGGTGGTTCCGGCCACCTGTTCGCACGTGCCTGCATCGTGTTCAAACAGGTGATCTATACCGTACCTGTTTGAAGGAAGGGGCTCTAGAACCGGACAGTTAGGAGTTGAATAAATGAGTTGAGTTCAAGTCTTCATTGAGTGTGGATGTGCATTTTCTTACACAGGTATGCAGAAAGAAGTTTTTCGAGCCGTGCGAGCTGAGAGTTCTAGGATGTACCTTGTTGTTTCCCTCCCCGGACAGTTTAACAGCCAGGACACCAGACGAGGTCACCGCTCCTGTGCTGCCAAAGATGATGTCTTCCACCTGGGTCAGATTTCCTGGGGAGGCCTGGAGAGAACAAAAGAAAGTACTATTTATGTTTACTAAAGGAAAACATACTGTTTTTGCTCTGTTTCCTCTTCTTCTTCCTCTCCAAACCAATAAGGTCAAGGACCTGAACCAGACAGTCTATCACCACGGTAAATGGTGTTAGGTTACATCATGTTGCAATTTTATAGCAAGAGGGATTTAGACTCCTGTCTGACCATATATATGAATGTGTTTTTCCTGTGGCACATTTTCACAGTCCATGCACTTGTATCCTGAAGTTGTATCTATGGCCAGAGGCTGCTACCTACTGTAGTTTGTCCTGTAACATTGCTACTACGGTAATTCCAGATTTCTTCACTGTACTTTCGTGTTCACTGTTTTCATGATCGCTTTTGTACCATGAGCTTATCATTACCATTATCAAATCAAACCTATTATTAGCCTTTTGTCCCCTTTCTGCAACAATGAAAATTAAGTTCCGTGAACATGTCCATTTTCTTCAGAGCATGAAATTTTAGCTACCGTGAATTACAGTATAGTCAGCACACATGGATTTGGAGCTAAATTACTCTACTGAAAGTGCACAGAACCTCTTTATGATTACAACAACACAGATACTGTAATTCCTAATGTTTTTCATTACCGTTAACAAGCAATTCCTCAACTGTCAGTTTCCTGAATGTCCACTTTTCATAAGGTGAATTGCAGTATACTGTATCATCGTATCACAACAGAACATCCAAAAAAAAAGTGAAGTTTTGCTCTTTTAACCAACCCTACACCCTTACCTTGATGTCCAGTTCCCAGTCATTGTTCTTGGCTGTTCCCTTGTTCTTGTAGACCTCCAGTCTGTACTGTCTGACCAATAGGAGTTCCCGTACCAACGACTCAAAATTCATCTTGCTCAGAGTCACATACTCCATCTTGTTGGGTCCTACATACAGACAATAGAACACCAGTCAATAAGTTTGCTGTTAAAACAGCATCTGATATGCATCAATAATTTCATCAGGTTGGTAAACGAATGAATAGCAAAGTTCTTTGATCTCAACCATTTATTTTTCACGAGTCGACGTTTCGATGACCGTCTGTCATCTTCATCAGGGCAATTCTGACTGGTTTACTGTGTACTGACACTAGATGTTACTTGGTGCATAGTGCACTAAAGTTGTTAGTGTCAGTGCACAGTAAACCAATCAGAATTGCCCTGATGAAGATGACAGACGGTCATCGAAACCTTGGCTTGTGAAAAAAAAATGGTTGTGATCAAAGAACCTTGCTATTATAATACATGTATTGACATTTATTGCTAGCCTGGTTACCAAACCTATTATAGCTCCCGAGTCCTACTATTTGCGGAGAGGATGTAGGACTCGGGAGCTATAATAGGTTTGGTAACCAGGCTAATTTATTGCCATTTCTTTGCACATTTTTGTCATCACTTTATTGATTGAAATAGCCCTAAAACAAGCCATGTGAGAAGTCCCTTTATGTTTTAATGGTACTGCCCATGAATAGCTAGAACCAGTCTACATCTGTACGACATGAAAAAAAGCAACAGTTTTCTATCAGTATCATGAAAGTTCATCTGTGTTGGTAGTTACATATATAAAGTTAAAACTTTTGGTCCACGTGACAAGCTTCACTGGGCCAGTCTACTGGGGAAGACCAGAGTGACTGGTCGAAAGCTCTAGGTGAGAGAATTTTTTGTGTTGGACCAAAAGTTTTAACTTTAAATAAGTTTTCTATCAGATTTTTGCCTCACAGATACATGTATCAGTATGCTATAGGATAGGATAGGGTTGATTCAACTACTTCATTCAAAAATGACCAGAAACTAGGAGTTAATCTGCGTCAAATGTTGTGAACGAAATCAAACTGATCATTGAAAAAACATGTCTATCAAAGACATGATGGACAAACAGAGGTGTGCACAACAGACACTAGTAGGATGAAAATCCTGACCTGTTCCCATGTTCTTGATGACTCCCATGGTCTTAAAAACTTCCTTGGCAGCAAAGATGGCATCAGGACCGTGGGCCGTGTAGTAATCCTGGTGGGATGGGGGGCAAGATTGTTAACAATGCTTATGCTAATAATTATGCCATGTTTCATAATGAAGAAGACCTTTACTACACAACATTTGTATGTGGTACAATGTATGCAGTATACAAAATACTTTTTTGAACCAGGTTGCACAGTGGGCAGCCTACGGCAAAAATTAGGTTGCCCATGATCATCAGAATTTGCCCCACCTATAAATTATTATTTTCCTGGGGCAAGTAAGGGGGGGCATTCTTAAAATTCAGGTAGCACACTGGGCTACCTAGGTTCAAAAATAGGTTGCCCAAAGTAAAATTGGCAGGGCAACCAGGTATTTTTGCATGCTGGTATGGCAAAAACTAATGAACATAGTACAGAAAAAAGTATAGAAACTTCACATCCTAATTACTAAACCAACAAGGGCTAGCATAAGTCTTTGATAATGATATAGTACAGTACATGTACTACAATTGAGTGAGGATAATCATGTGTTTTGTGTATTTTTTCATAACAAAGCAGTCTTTTATAGATTTTAGAATCATTATTCAGAAGTCTTTTATCTTTTATACCAATTTTTGTAATGGAGTTATTGCATTTAAAAATACATTCATGTCTGTCTGTAGCATTGAGTTTCTTGAAATTTGTTGTACTTGAATTAAGAAAAGTATATTACTGTAAGATTCAACAATCAATTATGATTAATATCAATATATCCAAAGTGGGTCGAAGAGTTGTGAATGTTGTATAATACTTACAGTTCTATCAAAAGCCCGGAAAGTTGTTGCAGGTTTCTAGAGGGAAAGAAATAGCTAATTAGCATTCAAAAGCAATTATTGTCAAAGGTAATCAGGTAATCAAACTGTTGCAGTTGGTAAGGTTTCTTTGTAAAATATCAAGCAAATTCTAAAATAAGTTAACTAAAGCACCTAGCGACAACGTCTACCGAGAAAAATAGACTCTAAACAAGGACAACAACAACAACAAAAATGTTAAATACTGATTACAGTATCATATTACATAACAAAACACAAAAGCTGGCGGAAATTACTATCACGTTCAAGCTAAGAGATTTAAACAAAGACTCGACACACACACACACACAACAAATTAGAGCGTATTTCAAATGAATAGATTTCAAACTAATTATCTAGCTTAACCAATGGTCAAGTCAAACAAAACTGCAATTTCCAATGAAATCCAATGCAGTTATTTTTTCACATTAAACAGTAATATCTCCGCTAGCATGCAAATAAAAAAATGCTCCCCCTCCCCCTTACCTCGGGCATCGTCCGAAGAAAGTTGAGAAATCCCAGCTCCTGGGAGCTGTCTGAAATTTAGAAAAGCAAAGAGGCCATTTACAAACAATATCCACAACCGATTTATACATTGCAATGTCTGTAAAAGTGCGTAAATATTGCAGAAACCACCAATTTCCTCACCTAGCTGCAGCTGCTGGTTTGGTTGCACCGCCATGTTGGACGCTCTGATTTTCGCGGGAAAAGGCTATCGACCTTTGACCTTTCTTGTTCAGCTCAGGTAGCGGGCCGTGTAGAAGCGCCCCATAACGATCCAAAATATTATTGCAAGCATTTTGGTCAGACAGTCGTAGCAAGGACGCCAACACAAGGACTTGTGTTGAACGTCCTTGGTCGTAGGCATTTGGGCACCTGTATACCACACTCGGCGGGGACATTAAAGCGCCCCTCACTGTCCAAAAATATTACTACAGATACCGACTACAGTCAGCCTGTACAATATACCTAACTGTCTAACTCTGTGATCGGTCGGCCTCATTTGGGTGCTTTTACTTTTACACCAACATATGCCAATGCGGGCCTGACCAAATACAAGATACAGGATGCATGATTGGAATCCATGTATATCCACTTTGACACATAGTCATTTGATGCTAGGCACGGGATCAGAAAAAAAATAAACGTTTAAGGAGTGAGTTTGGACTAGTCTGCATCTTTTTGTGTGTCTTTGCACGTTTTGTGACTACATCACACAATAATTTCAGCAGCGACAAGCTCCACAAGAATAATATACGTTGGTAGACAATACAATTTTTCAACTTTCAACCCCCGCCTTATCTCTCTTCGTGAAATTGACGCTTCCGCCTTAAGACCAATCTCAGCAGAAGACTGAAAACATGAAGTCAGTGTACAGATGAGTTCTATGATTGCAGTACGTGATGGTGTCTAGTGACGTCTGCATCGCCGGAACCACACAGCTCAGTCAGACAGAGGAAGACTGTCGCATGTAGCAGTTTGCTGCTCCAAACTGTCAATGTGACCAACCAGACTAGGAGCTGGACAAACCGTTAGATATGGCAGTAAGCGGACTGTTGATGCTCCTTGTGTTGGGATCTCTGTGGACGGGTTGTTCTTGTCTACCAGATAGATGTCGAATACAGAGGCGGAGCTACTTTGGGACACTGTCATTGTGGGTTGACTGTGATCATCTAAACCTCGCCACGCTTCCTGATGGCATACCGTCTAACACTGAACGATTTTGTGCCGAGTACAACAACATCAGAAATGTCTCCTATATGCCTTCTCTACCAGGACTACTGTGGCTGGACCTGGGTACGAACGCCATCGAATCGTTTGCCTGGACGTCTTTGCGTAATCTGCCAAATTTGAGGTTTCTTTATCTAAATATAAACCGACTACGGTACGTACAGCTTGGTAACGTCATTGAGCATCTACCGAAGCTGAAACATGTAGATCTAAGTTACAACAAGATCACGTCTATCTCTCGATACGAACTGGGGCGACCACAGGTGAAAAAAGCCTACATCATGGACAACCCCTTTCACTGTGACTGCTACCTCTTCTGGCTGATTGAAAAGATGGCGTGTTTAACAGCATGTAAAGGGGAAGACGAAAAGGCCTGTTGTCTTTCGTGTTCAGCCTGCTTTCTTGCCGGCATCCTAAAATATAAGGCGTTCAGAATGACCTGCCACAGTCCAAATGGACTGAAAAATCTGCCTTTATCAGACGTTTTCAGCCATCTGACGGGTTGTTGGCCACACCAGCCGACCACAGAAGCCCATGATGTGTTGCCAAAATGACGTCTCAGCAGTTAAGATCAAATCCAAACACGAATACGAAGCCGCGCTTCGGCCAGACACACAGACCATGGTGACCACCATACTGCACCGAACTGCCCGCAATGACACTAAACCCAAGCCAACCCAAAGTAACAAGGACACAGCTACAAATCCTACCGAAGGTTCAGGTAGTGATTTTATTCCCCCAACATTCTACTCAGCGCCATGGCAGGGACTTTGAGCTCCCTTACTCTGATGATATTGTGCCATCATCTGTATGAGAGGAAATGCTACGGCTATGTCCACGTTCATTAAGGCTTCTCAAACAATATACGAGGGGTGATCCAAAGGTTCTCGGCCTCACCTAGAAAACGTCACGGCAGTAAAATTTTTCTTACACTATTTTTTAATATAGTCCTCTCTAACTGCAATGCACTTGGTCCGGTGATGTTCCAGCTTTATTTCCCCTTGTGGAAGAAGGTTGCATCTGGACCCCCAGATTGGCCTATACCGCATAGATGACGTCATCATTACCATCAAAACGTTGACCACGTAAGTGGAAATTGAGTTTAGGAAACAGGTAGGAGTCCAAGGGTGCTAGGTGAGGTGAATTGAAAGGGTGGGGTTAGACTGCAAACCCAAATTCGTTTGCTGCTGCCACTGCCCCCTGTGCCGTGTGGACAGGTGCATTGTTAGCAGGCCAGCTAGGAGCTTTCCTCTCCTTTTCTCTTTGATCGTTGTCCTCAACTGTCGTAATTCTGTTGCATAGTACTCCCCATTGATGCTTTAACCCCTTCGCAGGTAGTCAATCATGATTGCTTCCTTGCTGTCCCAGAAAACAGAGGCAAAAAACCCTGTCAACGGACGAAAGTCGCTAAAAGTTCTTGGGTGGCCGGGAAAAATTTTTCATCGATTGTTTGCTCCGCTGTTTTGATTCGGGGTGAAAGTGGTGAATCCAGCTCATCTTGGGTTACAAATGTTTTGAGGAAATTGCATGCATTGGACTGAATTCGTTCCTTGAAATGTCCCGCCTGTTTAACTTCTGATGTTCAGAAAACATTCGAGGCACCCACCATGCAAACAGTTTTTTCATCCCCAGGATGTTCGACAAAACATTGTGAACTGAGTCATAACACAGGCCAAAGAACCTGCTACATGTTGGACAGTCTCACATCTGCCATTTACTACCATGTGATGGATGGCCTCAACTGGATTGTCCATGGTGCTGATTTGTGGCATCCTGACATATGTTCATCTTTTGTGCTCTCCTTACCGCGCTAGTAGCTAGCAACCCACTTCTTTATATTTTAATAAGAAGAGGAGTCATCACCAAGTGTCTTGACCATGTCTTCATGGATGTCCTTAGGAGACATCCTTTTTTATCGATACACTTGATCACAGCACACGCTTCTGTTGCGGCCATTTTGTGATTTTGCCCTCACCCACCCCATTTTCACGGTGCGTCACGTGCTAATTAATGAATATAAAAATTTGAATTTTTGTGTGCAGTGATATAAGACGTCATAGTATACAGCTTTATTAAAGAATAGGAGTTTGACCTTTATTTTCTAGGTGAGGCCGAGAACCTTTGGATCACCCCTCGTAGCAAAAGAAAGGATTGACTTTTCTGTGTCTTTTGCACTTCTTCTGACTACATATATCACACAATGGATTCAATAGCAGTGACAAGTATCACAAGATTGATATACGTTGGCAGACAAAACAATTTCTGAAACCCCAGCCCTGTCTTTGCAATATTGTCTTTGCCGCCCCCGCCTTAAGACCAATCTCAGCAGAAGACTGAAAAGATGAAGTTGTACAGATGAGTTCTATGATTACAGTGCGTGACGGTGTCTAGTGGCGTCTGCATCGCAAACGACAATACTCAGTCCAAGGTCCTTGCTCAGACAAAGGAAGACTGTCGCATAGTGCAGCTAGGTTTTCCAAACATTGTATTACGTACCCACAGACACGGAAGACAAAACGTCAGATATGATCATGAAAGTAAGTGGACTGTTGATGCTCGTTACGTTGGGATCTCTGTGGCCGGGTTGTTCTTGTCTGCCGGCTGAATGTCTGACAAAGAAGCAGGCGTACTACGGGACAATGCACGTTGACTGTACTAATCTACACCTTACCACAATTCCTGATGACATACCACCCAATGCTGACCAATTTTTTGCCATGCACAACAACATCAGAAATGTATCCTATATGCCTTCTCTACCGCGACTACTGTGGCTGGACCTGAGCTGGAACTCCATAGAATCGTTTTCCTGGATGTCTTTGCGTGCTCTGCCAGTTCTGAGGACTCTTACACTAAATGAAAACCGACTACGGTACGTGCAGCTGGGCAGCGTCCTTGAGCATCTGCCGAAACTGAAAATCGTAAATATACAGCACAACAAGCTTATGTCTCTCTCCCAGTACGAACTGGGGTGGCCACAGGTGAAAGAAGCCTACATCCTGGGAAACCCCTTTCACTGTGACTGCGACCTCTTCTGCTGATTGAAAAGATGGCGTGTTTAGAAGCCTGTAAGAAGGGAGATGAGAAGGCCTGCTGTCAGTCGTGTTCTGCCTGCTTTCTTATAAATACCCTGAAATATAACAAAATTGTCTGCCACAGTCCAATTGAACTTAAGTATCTCCCTTTATCAGAGGCGTCTGCCCATCTGCAGGAGTGTAGGGAGCAGGCCGCTCCTCCAACAACCCGTCAGGGGATTTTCCACTTCGTGTGGAAACCGACGTCTCTGCAGTTAGGGTCAAATACAACCACGAATACGAAGCCGCGCGTCGGCCAGGCACAGACCATGTCTACAACAACCCTGCACCGAACTGCCCGCGATAACACTTATCCCTACCCAACCGAACGTAACAAGGGCACTGCTGCTAACCCTACCGACGGATCGAGAGTTAACTCAACAAAAGAAATCACTTCATCCAACATTCTACTCAGGTCCATGGCAGGGACTTTTAGTTGCCTTTTTCTGAAATTGTGCCACCGTCTGTACACGAGGAAATGCTACAGCTGTATCCTTTTCTGATCGGTAAATATTGTATGGCTGCAGTCGTGACTGACTAAAGCCCTGGTCACAACCCGCCGTACGTGCTTTTTGTCCGTACGTTTTTTTTGGGGGGAGGCTACGTCTGCTACGTTTTTTTCTGAAAATGTGGGGAAGGAGTGGCGTCTACGCACGTCACACGCACGGTTGCGCAAGGTGTAAGAGTGTGGTCTGCACGCCAAGTCTGGCCGTAAGCGGTTGCGTGCATCGTTCGTTGCGCAAGTGGTGAGTTGTACGTTCTTACAACGTACGATCTCTGTAAGATTTCAACTTTACCCTAAGGAGGCCGTACTCACACGTGCTTCTTCCGCGCGGTACGTACAGGGCACGCGCGTCGCTCGTACTCGCACGCACGGGTGGTGAATCCGCAGACCGCACGCAGAAAAAGTTTTACATGCACTTAATGTTCTACGGCGTGTCTGCGTGCTCCCAAATCCGTAGGATTCCGTACGGAGGTGGTACTCACCACGCACGGATGCCCTACGTTTGCCCACGTTTTGCACGTAGACAGCACGCAGAAGCACGTAGGGCGGGTTGTGACCGAGGCTTTAAGGGTACCCATTTGAGTTATCTACAGCATAGACTATAACATTTAACAATCAAGAACTTCACTAATTCACCTAGGCTTTGACTTATACTGGCGTGACCATCTTGCAAATGATAATACGTAGCAAATGTAGAAGGAATACAATGGTTAAATTCTGTAACATCTGAGTTTTAGTTTTTTAATTAGATGTGATGTGATCTGCTTGGAGATTACTGGAAGCCAGCTGTGAACACTATACTCTAAATCCCTTGTATCAAAATTCAAACTCTCACTGGCAAAATTTCATACCACTTTTACTTCAGTATCACAATTCTTAACAAAATTAACATTTAGTCACTCACTCACTCACTACAGCTAGTACAAACTTTAAAGATAATATTCAAAATTGATCAAGTCATACTCAGACAACAAGCACTCCATACGGGTGGAATCTGAGCATTTATTTTTCTAGGCTCTTAGATCACTACAGTCTAGTGTGCACCAAAGCTTAAGTTATAACAGATAAATAAAACCAGTTCTCTTACTGCCTCTGCCAAGATGATTCAGATAAAGACAAATTTTCTGCTAAACTTACAGAATATACAATGTAGCATAGCAGCAAAAATGTATTGTCAATGAGAAAGATAAGAAACCAGGACTTAGAAGAAATAGCACACAGACCATCATTTACATAAGACACTACTGATGTTTTTGTATGTAAACAGAGAAATGTTCAAGGTAAGATCATTCATTCTACATTATTTCACATTTTCTACACTTTCGAAATCGGAGCACCAATGCCTACATACTGTACATACTATAATTATACACCTTCTTTCATCATCAAAATGCACAAGAGTCCGTTCCTCTCTTTAAAAACAAGGAGAACAGATCTAAACAAATTGATCAAAGAACAGAGCTGAGGTTACAATAAATACTGAAAAATGGGGACAACAGTACCAAAACAATATCTGTCTATGTAGAGTTTAATAATGTATGGTGTACACTTATGTCTTGGTACTAGTATCCCATAGTATGCAACAAACATACATGTATATGTATTATCAAATAATCCAAGCTCAAATTTGATGATGATATTCTTCCATTCTGACAAAATAGAGAAATACACTTGTGGGGACAATACAGAGTAGCATTTGCTCAAAATTCTTTCATTAAAAAAAAAAGTTAAAAAGAGTATGAAACCTGTAATAGCATATTGATCAGTTCCAAAAATATGCATGAGTGATATGATAAGACACGTGTTTTGACAGAAAAATGAAAGTACAAAAATCATGAACCATTTGTCACACATTGCACAGAGTTCTGCTGAAGTTCCATTGCATTTTCAATGAGAAAATTTGACAAAGAAAACACATATAAAGTTCTATTAAAACTATCAACGGAAAATAAAGTTTGGATGATATTTCTGAACCTTTCGGTGTGCTATTCAGTAAAACTATTATCCATTTACAAATGCCGGTGTTATGAAGTTACTGGAGTTACATGTATGTTTTTGCAGTGTAAACTGTAGTAGATGTTAAGTTTAAATGTGTGACAGTCAATACTTGAATGTGATACAATGGTTGAAATTCTACAAAAATACTCTGATGATATGATGAATCCCATCATAAGAGACATGTAATATTATCTGTAGATGATTAAACTGTTTCATAATTTATAGTGTACATTACATACAGTGTAGATGTAGAAGAAAACTGACGAGCTAGAAATTTTCTTTCTCTGTTACGGGTACTGAGAAGTCTTTCTTAGACCTTAGCAACAAGAAATTCTCTAAAACAACCACAACAGAAAAAAACAAAGTAAAGCATTGACAATAAAGCTTCATAATGAGATCAGACTATACATATTTTCATTATGCAAGAAACTTTTTTTTAGCTTCATACATGTACAAATCCAACATTAAGAACAACAATGTCTACTTTGCGGGAGTATTTTTCTATTAAAGAAGTCTCCTTTCTTTCAACCAATTCAACTATCCATACCACCCCCATACAAGAATGGGTCTGTCCCTGGTTTAGCTGCAGGGTATGTAAGGACTGGACTAAAAATTTGCCAATGGGGGGTGTGCACAAGGCTAGCTGATGTAGTTGAAAGAAAAGCCAGACTAGTTATTGGGTACGGGAGCATCTTTTGGTATGAGCCCCATGGCTTGGAGGGCAACTGTAGCAGCCTGGGCTTTGGCATGTTTCTTGTTGGGACTTGCTATGGTGGGTTGGTACTCTTCACTGTTGATTCTTACCTGCAAAGGTAGACAGATGGAATGAAGTTATAATTATCTTGAAAGTTCATCTGTGTTGGTAGAAGATATTATGAAACAAGATTAAACTGCAATTGAGATTGCCAACACAAAAAATTGGACTCACTTGGAGTAATTAAGTTATAATTATTGCCCTGGAGAATAGTTATTACTCTACAGTCAACTAGGTTTGGTGCTGAATCAACATAGCTACATACTAGATATGCCACACATAATACCTTCAAATTGGACAAACCAAAAACGAACAGCATCAAAAAAAGCTCTCACATATAGAACTACATTGTACTACAGAATGGAACATGCTGCAACAAGAGATACAAACAATGTCATCATACGGAAATTTTAAGCAAGGACTACTAAAGCACATAAGAGACTCTTATCAAGACTGTGAAGCACATACATTTTGTACATTGATACAAAATCATACATCTTGTTATTTTGTAACAACTGTATGTGATACATGTAGTAAATTGTGTAATGTTAAGCTAGTTGTACATTCAAGTGAATCCCATGCACTTGACATGTGTCCTCTCTTAGAAGACCACCTGTAACCTAGTCATTGGTAGACAGCTTATACATGTAATTAGGAGAGGTTGAACTCTAAATTCTAATAAAGTCCTGGACCAATACTCAACAGCATACAGGTACAAATTTGGGGTACTACACCACCAACAGATTGCTAAACTTTCATCCCACAAATATAAAACAGTGATATTAGAGAGCTGGGTATTAAAGTCTGGTAGGTTTTGTCAACTTTCTACTGCAATACCTCATTGGATTGCCAGGAGGCAGTCGTAACACATGCACTAAGGGCATAGAAAACCAAGGCTACAGAATGTACAGTAACTGCACCTGCACGAAACCTGGATTTTTCAGTTTTCTTTTGCCGTTTCATCAACGGTGCACCAGAATTATGTTCTGCCGATGGGCTACACAGAAACAATACTAAGAATTTTCCTATCAATAATTAATTGTCATTTAGACTTTGACATGCACAAGTGACTGACAACTACATGAAGAGTCTGCTGCTAAATTTACACACACACACAGATTCAGGAAATGACTAGTCAGGGCTGATTCAGTACCTTGAAGAGGAAGTTTTTCTTGTGGTCAGGCCCACTGTCGTGCACCAGGACAAACTCTGGCGGCATCCACTTCCTCTTGTTACAGATCTCCATCAGGGCAGACACTGGGTGTTTTCCTGGGAATACAGAGAGACATGTTCATAAGTGTACTTAGCCAAGGAAATGAAGGATTTCTGAGATAACAGATAATAAACAAATAAAAATTTGTATGCACATGTTTAAAGGTGAAACTTTTGTTCCCAAACAAAAGGGAAATGTTCACACCTAGAGCTTTCGACCACTCGTACATGTGAACTAAGTCTTACCTGACAGGTCCTTCCCAGTGGTGTCTTTAATGACAGGAACAGGCCCAGACTTCTTGCCTTGCTTCTCACCCTGAGCAAGCAGGCCTGGAAAAAACAGAAAGTGTATTAAGTTCATTGATGTTAGTACATGTGCCTAACATTATGGAAAAGAATGGTAAAAAATTGCAATCCCACTTGGTGTTGTGAGCAGGGATATATGTAAACACACCACTTGTAAAAGTTACAGTTTTTCAAAACCACTGCTTACCAGGTGTACGCTGAGCATGTGAAAGAACCCTACACATTCATCAGTCACCATATGTTCACAACACAGTGAGCACAGAGAAGTTTCCTAGACCTCCCAGAACCAACTTGGTCTATATTGCCAGAGAGACTTCTCTTCCAACATTACCACAAAACCTGTCCTGACATGCCACTGATCGTAAATTGTGCCGTTAGGAAAGTAACTTTACACGACTTTCCCCACTTACATGTAACTCAAGTGAAAATGAGTATTGTCCTGTATTTGTTTCTATGTGTGGGACACAACACCAGCAACAGCTGCCTGCGTCGTGTACTGCACTGTTGCAATTTCAATAAACAACAAAACCAGCCCCCAGCCCTGTCCTGCTCACCTCTCCTGTCTGTCTTGACGTCCAGTGTGAGTGGTTCCAGCACACCGGTCTGTCCCTTCCCCAGACCCTCCCCTGGTTTCCACCCCATCTTCTTCATCAGCTGCATGCCCATCCCTCCCTGTACGGGGTTCAGCCGCTGGAACATGTCCTGGTGAGGGCCACACGGCAACAACACATGGGGGGAACACAGGATCAGTCTTTAGTGTGGCATTGGTGTGGCAACATTTTCATAGAGAGAAGAAAAGTACTGACCAGCTAAAAAAGTGTTACTGCCTACATTGTAGCATGTTTAGTACGAACTGCATACAGTTTGCTATCAGTCTAAGGTAATATTTGTTATCACCAACCCATGAAGACGATACCTAGCCAAAATGCCTCAAAAGCAGTCTACGTTTGGTACCATATTCTTAACTAAGAACAGGATTGACCTTTAATTTAGTTTAAAGCCAAAATATCCAAATCCTTACAAAGAAACAATGTAGGTTTAGGGATCAATAATTCAGAGGGCTTGGCTGGATTCAGCCAGACAGTGACGAAACAGTAACTGTTTTCAATAGCATAAGAATATTGCTTTTTTTCTTGAACATATACTGTGTAATATTATACATGGCAAAAGAGGAAAAAGAAAATCCCTCTTGGCTTACAGGAAGGAAGCAAGACGTGGAAAAGGAATTTACTGAATTTCTTACGGCCAGATTAACTCGAGTGTACTTTAATTGAGATACACTGTGACACTTTTTGGGAATTTACGGTAGTACGGAACATTTCTTAATCATGGTCTTTTCCCATTTTGACCTTATTGTCAGAAACACATGGACACAAAGACAGCAACAGACACGACACAAGGGCAATCAACACGCATGCAGAGGTCATCCCAATCACCACAATTACACACAAGATAAGATTAAAGGCATTTAAAAGATGTCAAAAGAAACGCCTTTACTGGTAATAGATTGTACGTTGTGGACAATGTATGTGTAATTATATCTGCCAGCTAAAACACTGAAGAGAGGTTTTCAAGGAAGGTGAATCTACAGCCCCTGGTGGCAGGTTAGAGAATGGCATGTATTGAAGGAGCTATGAACATTATCCTACGGAAGCACATAGCCGTGTTCTACCAAGCTCCTTGAGGCATACCATCATGGGGCCTGCCACCATGGGCTTTAGATTCACCATCATCAGTTGCAAATGCAAATCTCGGTACGTCTGGAACCGTGACCGCCTGGAAAGAAAGGCCAGAACAGAAGGGTTAGGGACAGGCCTGTCAGTACGCACACACTTCTTAACAAAGTCACTTGGGTTTACAGCGAGGTCCATGACATGATTTACATGTGGGCAAGAACCTGATGGTACCAAAGCTGCGTACGCACACTACTGTACGAAAACTGTGTACTCACACTAGCTAGTGAACGAAAACTGTGTACAATAACTGCGTATGGACACTAGTGTATGAAAACTGTTTACAAAAACTGCCTACAGATACTAGTGTTCAAAAACTACTAAATCAAATTCTCCTATGCGTAAATCAGCCTTATTTGACGCACTTCAAGAACGTACATGTACACGGATCGTACGTTACCTTAAAGGCTGGGGTAGGATCTACCTGTACGTTCTTGATGTTCAAAGCAGGTCATTTTTACAAGCAGGAAAAATTTGTTTATGCAATTTTTTGTACGCTCCTGTGTGTACACAGTTTTCAGAAACCTTCAGGTTTTTGCCCTCATACAAATCGGGTCTTAAAGTAGGCGAGACACTGTGGTAAAACATCTTATATCTTCAAGGAACCCAAGTGACTTTTTTGTAAGAAAAGTGCTGTACAGACAGAAATGGACCAGAACTGATTTTAAGTTTGATCAGCAAAAATCATTCTGGAGACAACGATCGTGCCAAAGTTTTCATCCTTCCTCCTACCGACATGCAAGCAGAAACACTTCACAACACAGGGAAGGACATCAGTGACAGACTTTACCAGGATACTAGCAAGTTAATAAAGCGTACACAGAGCTTAGGGAAGGTATGAGTTAGTAAAGGTCTCATGCTCAACAGACAGATATTGACAACAACCTACAAGTATGAGAAAATGCAAGGCAGCACAAAAATACACTTTTTTTTTATAGCAATGCACTACAATTTTAATACGACTAAACAGGACACAAATATAGAAAATACATCTATAAAATACCACTAGTAACAATGGGAATCATGCATAATTTTGATGGCGTATTCCCTACGTGTCATCTGGCCCATGACATAACAAACTGTTTCAACAGAATGGTACAGACGGCTTCACAGCCCCCAGCATGCTTTGCTGCTCATGTCCCATCAACACCATAATATATGGAAGGCTGCAGCAAAGCATTCTGGAGCCATCAAGCCGTCTATAGTCACCTTGCCTCTCCTGTTCTGGCCTTTGCAATTGGGAGGCCTTGCTGCGACAGAAACAAAACAGATCAGTCCGTCTCTAAGTCAATCAGTTGAGACCTGGAATTAGACTATCGTTCTGGCCAGATTTCAGCTCCAGGCCATTAACAACAAGGCACGGCCTCACAGTAGGACATTACTAGAAGCCAGTAACTCTTGAAAGGCTGCATTCACATAGCCAGGAGGGGGGGGAGGTTCGGGGGTTCAGATGACCCCCCCCCCACCACACAACTGAAGGCTCAAAGGTCCACTTTTGGTTCTAAGGATCCAAGATTTACATGTATCTTTAAAAGATGGACTGATTCGTATTACCAGCGGGGCTGGAATCGTAGAAAAACTGCTCACTTTGTCAATGAATAAAAAGTTATCTCTGTTTTTTCTTTGAAATCCTCTCAAAAACGCAGGAAATGCCATATTTCAGAAGGTTCATTTTCAAAATTTTCCGGGGAAGCATGCCCCAGGACCCCCTAGAAAAATTGCACCTACATGTACAGTGCTCGCTGGTCCCTCAAGCAGTGGAAAGAACCCCCCAAATCAAAATCCTGGCTACGGGCATGGGCTGGAATGTAATGTCATTCAAATCTACCCTATGTATATCTGGCTTTATACAGAGTATCACAGTGCCTGCCTTAGCCAGGCTGCTGATTTGAACATAAGATGAGTGTTACTACATAGTATTTTTTCATGTACTTTAGTTTAGGTTCTGTCAAAAAAAAATCTAGTGGCAGGTCAAGTTCTATCCATTGATGTGATGACATTTTCGTATTTAGAAATAGTGAGGAGAAGGTTAGAGAAAAATCCAGGCCACAGAATTCTGTAGCATAAAGCTGCTCTGAGGTTGTATCAGAGCACACTCTGGCTTTGGGAGGCTTGGGGGAGATATACAGTGATAACCTTCACTACAAAATACAGGGCTTGAAATACATTTTTCTGTGCACCTACACTGATGGAGGTAACATTGAAAATTACCTGCAACAGAAAAAAATTACCTGCATTTAGGAAGTATGGATCATACTAAAAAAATTGTTTAGAAACTGTTTCTGTTATTTCTTTTATACTTCATACTATATTAGGTGGTAGTAGTCAATGCAGCTAATAAAACCCACATACACCTAATAATGTGCATTTAAGGTTCAGATATTTGTAGAGATCAGAAACGATGCACAGCTCCAATTTTACCTGCACTATCCTGCATATACAGGGGGTATTTCAAGCCCTGAAATTACCTTCTTAAATTGTGCATTCCTTGTTCACTGTCTAGTAGTTCTTATGCCTACAATGCTCTGGTTTGTTTAAATGGGACCCCAGTAAAATAATTAGTTTTCTGACACAATTAATGACTCGATCACTTTCCATTTGAACTACGCAGAGGTAGAAAGATAGAAGAGGTATTTAGCTGAGCTCTACAAGCCTGGCCACAGATTATTGGAAAAACTATTAATCAAATTGCAACAAGATTACTGGAAATAGCCAGATATACTTAGGGGAGCTGTAAGTACATGTAGGTCTGATTTCTCATTTTGCAAGGGGCAATTTCAGCCTTCACACGGCCATCATAATACTGTAAGGCATGGTAGGGCCTTTGAAAATGTGCTCCATTTTATGACAGTGATAGTACCATGCAATTTGGATCATACAACTACAAGGCAGAAACTGAGTACAGTGTCCTCGCATATGATTTTCAGCTATATGCTAATAACCTGATCCCTTAGAGACGGCTTGAGCTGAAAAAATTCTGGACACAGACTCTATGCATTTGGACAATTGTCTGGTGTGTGAGCATGACAGTTAGTCTCTAGTACCATTCTCACAAGAAGGGTTATGAAACATAAGGCTAAAGGCTAGGACACAAGAAGAACAAAGAGTGACAATACAAATAATGTATAATATAGACAGTGAAAGAAAAGCACAGTGGTTTGGGTTACGAAATCATTGGGAACGGAACAGAAAGATGGCAGAAAGCAAAGAGTCTGGATTTGGTGGAGTTAACTAGACTTGTTACGTACCTATGCAGCACAGTAGGTGTTTGCCCCTCTGCTTGAAATTGTGCAAAGTGGGAGGCAAAACAACAGCGGCATGGCTGCTAATAGTAGGGTGGCCTGCAACAAGTTTCCAATGGCAGTGACGGGGGCTGTGAAACACTCACCCTGTCCCTGTCTAGAGCCAGCATGTATTGACATGTGGAACATTTGTAGTGTGCAAAGACTTCAATGAAGTAGGCTTAAACTTGATTTTGTTGTACTTTTGAAGTCACTGTTTTCAATGAAGCAGTCATCATCCCAATTCAATATACATTGAGAACCTTTCTGTAATACAATATAGTATCATCATCAAACAATTTTCACTCCATTGTCAAAGCCACAATCATCAGCACATTGCTGTATATTGATGGCCAGAATGTCTTCAATATCAGACGTTCTAGTGCCATGAAATGTTCAAATATGCTGTATTAGTGTCACTCAATTTGGTGACTGTGTTTTTTTCTCTTAAACTTGTTCATTAATAGTTATACATGCTGACCGTAGGCAAATGACACAAGAATGTGTTTAACACAACCCCACATCAACACTGCATCTCAAAAGGTCTAAAGGGCAGTCGAGGGGTGGGGCAGTCATGTTGCCATGACGATGCCCCGCCCCTGGATCGGCCCACCACACTGGAAACAAGTTGCAGGTCCTGATTGAAGAAGGGAACATGTCTGAGCTTTCCCCAATAGCATACACAAGGTCCTCTCAGGCACATGCACAATATAAGAGACAATACAGAGGGAATCCAAAGAGAGATAAAGCATAACGTAGTCACTAAAAGCTACACAAAACATAGCCTTGTATAGTGTGCAACTTTTGCTACAGCAACTAGTACTGATATAATGGTAATGGCAAGAAAAGATGACTAGTCTACAACTCAAAATAAACACCTTGACTTTAAATTAGTATTATAATAATACTCTCTCCAAGTCTTTTTCGGCACAATGAAAAATAAATTATGTAACATTAACTAAATATGTAAAATTGTTGAGTTTGCAGCATCTACAAGAATAAAGTATGGAAAGAAACAGTGACAAAAGATTCTAAAGCTGAGGAAAGTCTTCCTGGGAAAAGAAGATGCATATGCTACTGGGGAAAGCACAACCACTGAAAAAAGTCCTGATGGAGAAATCCTGGCCTGAACTCCCCTCTGGTATGTGTGGAGATGGTATCTCCCGGTCGCTTCTAGCTATACATGCATCAATGTCTGATCTCGGCCTCCAAAGCATTATGGTGGGCGACTACTATCACTTACTAGTATTGACTACCATGTCAGAGCAAAGAACTTAAACCTACAGGAGCCAGGCTACATTAAACACTAAATTTTTAGTTTTTCAGACATAACGGAGATGCTTTACGAGATTTTTTTTAAGCACGGTTGTCGTTTTATTGCCTCGTTCAGAGGTTAGCTAAACGAAAAACTATTAATAAAGAGGGGAAAGCGTTGGAGTCAGACATTGACAAATGCATAGATTACCGTACCATCAATGGAAAATATGACAGGAGGGGACAAAATGAGAAACAGAAAAGGTAAAAATAAAACTAGAAAGGCCGACATTTGCTTGGGAGCAAATACAGCATATTTCAGTCCATCTCCCTCCCACGCAAAAGTGGACTATTCCAAACTTACCCCAGTGCAAAACTGGAATATCCTCAAATGAATTATATATACATTCAACTTTAAAATTTGTTAATGTTATTGCTTGCAGCACGTACCAATATTTCCAAGATTATATGGATGATATGAATGTCCCCATACATGTAAATATACAGTATACCTGTGCAAACTTTTTATATATATGTTCAATGCAATGATACCACACGAGCAATTGCCATGACTTCACGGTAGGCATATATATATATGATGTAAACAAAAGCAGCAATCGCTCGTATACAATCATTTTTAATGGTAGTAGATTTGTTGACTGAGTCTTTCAACATGGGATGGGGCAGGTGGGCGTGTTTGTGAGGATTCGTCTTGTGAAGCATCTACACATCCTCCCAGGCAAACTACCCAATAATTATAAAGTACTTCACACAATATTGGGTGAATTTTCTTGCTAGCTCACAGACCATTAATTCATGGACATGTAGTGGAATATAATATAATATGTGGTTGCCGTTATTTAGGAACAATATTGGAAATCATACACATGTATATCATTCCACATCATGAGTAAAACCCTAAACTATAATTTTATTTTTAAAAAGTAAAATAACATTCAAAATGTTTTCAAACTATGATGAAATCTCTTAGACCAAGGAAGTCAAAATCAAATCTTTGCAAAACCTCCTTGCTTAGACGATTAGATTTGAAAGGATTGATCAGGTCATCCCCATATAATGTCCTTGCTGCTGTACCTTCGAAAAGAGGAACAAGGCTTCGAAATTCGAATGTACGAATTTACGAAATTCGAATGCCAAACTTTTGCCCGAATTTTGATCGAATCGGTGCTCGAAAAGACAAAAGTCGTTGGCGTTCCCGTTCTGAGTAGTTTGATTTTTTTTCCCGAGCAACAGATAACACATCAACTATACAACACGGTTGTTTTAGTTTTAGTAACTTTTACAAGTCCTTGGTGAGAAATCAGTAAATAAAGAAATATACAAGGGCATGCAAGTCATCCTACCTGCCAAATACTATTCACTAATTTCGGGCATTTGTATTAGTTTAAACAGATAATATGCAGCTCTTATATGTCATTTTTGGGCGGGAAAAATAATCGTGAAGTAAATTAAACACTCACCTTGCCCTCACGATCTTCGATATTTCTCTTGACAGAAAACTTCTGAACCGGCGCGACGTCTTCCTAATCAGTCGTTCAGTTGTTTTTTAAGAAATAAAACAAAACTCTTTCACTGTTCGGTGATAGATTTGGAAATTTCCCGAGAAGAAATGACAGAAAATTTCCTGACCGAAGTCAAAATTTCTAGATTTGCTCGTAAGTGTCGTCTGCGAAATTCTCTTTAGGTAAAACCATCGCCGGAGATATCAGAAGGGGTGGGAGGTTTCAGAGTACTATTTTAAAATTACTACATTGCGTTTGTATTTTTGTAAAGACAATTTTTTTACGTGTTCAAAGTAAGATACTCTGAATTATATATATTTCTTGCCAGGTTTAATGGTATTTGAGACAGAAAAATGATCGTTTATTCCGATTTAAATAAAAAGTTTACCCAGCTTGCGGATGGAAACGTCCATTTATGCAAATCAGATTAGCCGACTATTAACGGGGACATTCAAATTCTTTATATATATAAAAATAGATTTTACGCCACAGTTTTCTTAACAACACAAAGTAAGTAAAATTATAAATAAATTTACAATACTATAGTATTAATTCTAATCTATCATATCTCATAGCTGGAAATTATGAATTTTTATGTTGCACATGTACTACCTACGGAATAAATCGACTTGGCGAAACCTTTGTTCTTCCGGGTCGGAGTTCCTTGCTCTGTTTTGATTTTGAAATGGAAATGTGTTTTTGCAACTACATGTATATTTTTACGGGGCTTTTCTGACGTTTGACGCTACCTTTGGCACGATATGATCGCACTACCATGTACACGCTACCGGAGGCGGCAGATGAGTGGTCATTTTTACACAATCGTCGAGAAATTTTGACGTTATGCACCCGGAAGTGCGCCGATATCGGTTTGCGTTCCCTCGATTTTTGACAGTTTCCCCCGTCAAAATAAGAAACAAAACTACCGCTATTAAATAGAACCATGTATTACAATTATCATTTGAACATGATTGATCTATAACATATTCCTTTATAATATTATAAGTATAATATCATCATGGTTGTGGAAAATCCTCAGCTGGCGAACCATTTAGTCGGCATGTCACGAGTTCTTGCGCCGCGCCGGGAGTGACGAACATTTTCTTACACATATTCTTACCCCTTCCGAAACACTTTGCGGTACCCAGGATTAGGGTGGTCTGCATATTCCCTCGTCGTGATTGTAGATGACGTAAAAATCTAGGTAACGTTACATAAAATTGAATGTGTGGGTCATTGCGCACGACTTACGTGCAACGTGACCTCAGGTAACCCGCAATGTTCGATGTGTTCGATGGCCAACGGCAGATAGAACGAGCCATTCTTTAGATCGAACGTGGAACGGGTATAGCACTTTTGGCCCTTTTTTGGCCTGAAATAGCCATTTAAGTCCCCTAAATGAGTCATTTCGAAGTGGTGTATGCCAAACATGTGACTGCTATTCTGTAGACACATGTTCAAGGTACCCTTATACCGAATTTCAGATCATTTGGTTGTAAAACCAGCGCTCAGGATCCAAAAATCCATTTTTTGTCGAGAAATGCCCCAAAAAACCTTCATAAAAATTTTTCAAAGGCATGTATCAAAAAAATGAAAAAAACGCCTAGGGGTATTGGCCCACTCTACCTCCTTGCCAAATTTCAGGTCATTTGACTAAAAAATGACAGAGTTGAATCCCTTTGACTGTGTGGCAGGAGGAGGAGGAGAAGGAGAAGGAGAAGAAGAAACATGAGGGAACACAATATATTTCATCCATGGTATGGACTGAAATATAATAAAAAATTGGCATGGAATAAAAACTGAAAAAGGGGAGCTCCAAGGCACTTGGGTATACCTTTTTGGCCCAGGCCTGGTTGCCTGTGTTTGCTAGTTCTTGAGTGGAGAGAAGCTGCACCCCCGTGGTACCAGTGAACTGTCCCGGGATCTGGCTGGAAACTGCCCAGTTCTGAATCTGTAGTGGAAAGAAGAGAAAGGGAAAAATGAATTGTGATACTGCTCACAATATCCATACAAATGTACTAAAATTTGTTAGTAGTGTGGTATACTTCAAAGTAACTCCTGCTAAGGTCACATTTCCAAACCGGGGCCCAGACGGGCTTAGCCTGGATGCCAGGACCATAGCACACTACACTGTAGGTCCAAAGTTATCCAGTGTGCCAACTTTGGGCCTAGCGTGCTACATGTATGTTTGTGGGAAAAATGAAAACAAAAAAATACATAAGGCCACACCAATTTAATTCCTTGGTTAACGGATTTGCCGCTTCATTTTTTTTCTGATTTGCAAATAAAAATAAAAATTCAGAATCAGCTGCAAAATGCTCATATTTTGCCCTGAACAGTTGAAAACAGTCCTTTTCTTACTACTTGTTAAAGTCATTCCATATTTCAATAAAGTGATATCATTAAAAGTTCAAAATTCATTGTTTAAATTTTGAATCAGCCTGGTGTGTTGACTTCATGGCTCCTATCGTACAATTTTGGGCCATAATAGGATGCCTAGGCCTGTTTTTATTTTTATTTTTTTTTCGCCCGCCCGCTCCATTATTTTTCTAGAAAAATCCGTTAACCAAGAAATTAAATTGGTGTGGCCTAATGTACAAGTATCAAGAATGTCAGTATTCTACACAAATAGTGCTCGTGTTAAATTTTTGCAACTTTTTTTTTCATTGTCTTTTACTTTTTGTCTCTGCAAACTGCCCGAATGAGCCCTGGGTTGGAAATTGTGATCTTAGCATAACCAGGAATTCAGTGGGAGCTTCATTTGTTGTCAGTTTTCATCATTACTGCAAGGCTGTGGAATATTTTTTGGCCAGGAAAACCATCAGATAGACACCATGCCAGGTAACCCTATAGTCCTTGAGTCTATGTTCCTTTTTCTTTATTCTTTAGATTTTCTTGGGATCTGCCCTTGGGTCATTTCTCTTAGGCTTAATTACAGCACACCCACCCATCAGCAGTTATGGGGTCAGACGTGGTCAACATAAGACTAGACACGGTACTGACTGAGCTTCTTTGCATACTTTCTCACAACTATCATCCAATATAGTTTCAGTAAGGCCATGTTGATTTGATTATATGGATGACATCCTCTATCTGTGAACCCTACAACTGATGAGACCGTGCAAATAAAAAAAAGTTTGGCAAAAAAAAAGTTGCCGCCATTATGAATCTATGTGGTCATGAAGGTTGAACAAATGACTAAACACACAGAGTATGGTATAGCGAATAATGGACTCTTCGTTTTCATTTTTTTTGCATTTTCTTCTTTTCCTTTGGAATCGATTGTGTCATTCTAAGACATTAGTGTCATTTTCCAATATCATTTTTTTGCAATATACAGCATATATTTGCTCATTTTGCAGGCCTTGTGTGATTTACAGTATGGTCAAAAACGTTTTTTTGGAAACGAACGATACCCGGTAATTCATGTGCGCACGGATGTTATCCATATATATATTAATCAATTTCAACATGGCCTAATCTCAACTCACGATATTTTCATGAAGAAGCCACCAATTCCCTTTACAATTCCAGAGATTGAATTGTGTGACCTAATAATCTTAGACCAGTATATGGATAGTGTGGAACTGGACTTAGCTTGTAAAAGAGGTCCCTTCCGTGGCCTCTATATGACATCTCTGCAGTTTTTTTCCTCACTATTGGTGTAGAAATGCCAATATTCACCCTTCAAATGGCATAAACTCAAGCCTCAGAATGGCCAATTTTGTGGTTGTTGATTTCCCTGTTCCCTTCGGTATCATTGTCGCAGCAGTGGTTTGAATTGTCTTTACACTAAGTGCTTTTAGAGAGGCTCTAAACCTAAAGTACCCTTTGAGACCCTAGTTCCATTTCCAATCCCATCAAATGCTTGGTCATCTTCCAGCGCATGACCACTTTGCCCGACAAATCTCCGCTTACGACTGGCTATAATGGCACAGAAGGCAGGCCGGGGATAGCCGTGTACATAGGAAAAACAATCACTGATCAATCTGAATCCAACAAGTATGCCATCTGCCATAGCAGACTGGTTAATGGCTTTTTGAAAGCTTAGAGGACAGGGGAAGGGCCAAATTTCCGTCCGACAGCCATTGGAAAATTGGCAGGCGACCCCTGCTTGTCGGTGAAGAATTGTTGGGAGCATGACAAAGCCTTTCCTAAGCTGTGGAAAAAGGAAAAGGCAATTTCCATGATCTGGCTCTATTCAGAGAGTGATAGAGAATGAAAAGAAGTGACTGGACACTATGACCTGATTCACACATGAGCAAAAACCAGATGGTACAAAAACTATGTACCCACATGAGCGTATGAAAACTATGCCAACTTTTTCCTGTGTGTAATACTTTGAGATCATATGCCAGCCCTTAAGGTATATGTACATGTATGATATGATATGATATACCTCAAAGTATGGTGTACCTCTAAAAAAAAAAAAGGTCCAGTTCCACTCTATTGCAGAGCATAGGGGTGATGCCCATATCCATTTCTGTAGGCCTTGGGTGACACACAGTTGTGCAATGCACTACAGCAGGGGGCTAGTCCGCTGGTAGTGCTGTGTGTTTGACCTTCCCACACTCTTAATGTCATATATGTGCTGAGTGCTAAGCAGAGAAAGAAGTATGTACCATTTTTAAAGTCTTTGGTATGACCCGACCGGGGTACGCTCAAGTGCGTGTGCAGTTTTCCTACCATCAGGTTTTTGCCCATTGTAAATTGAGTTAATAGGACATGACAGTATGCTGTACATGCCGGTAACACGCTATACTGAATAGAGCAGTAGCAATGGCCAGCAGTCCCTCAATAATCTCACTTCCAATCAAAGCTACAGTATCTAATAGCTTCACCCAAATTTCCCTCAGAGTCAGAGTTCCAAAACAAGAGTGGAATTCACAGTAGATAGTCTTCTTGGGGCATCCATGTAGAGTTGTTCTGACACCCCTAACAACCTGGCTCATCCATTATACAAAATAAATCAGACAACTGGGAATGGCATCCAACAACTTTAGATATTTCAGACAGCATCCACTGTCTTTCATCAGTGACTATGGATGAGTCTCTGAGGACAAGTTGAACTGGTAGAACTAGAACTAGTTTTAGCAGGTCTACTTGTCCTGGGAGACTCATTTGCAGGCACTGATGATGAATGACGGTCACTGTAGATGCTGTCCAAAACATCATTCTGACTGTTAGAGACCATGCCCAGTATTTGATCTATTACCAGAAGGTTTTGTCTTTAGTTTGGCTATGGTGGAGTGACTGTTGACATAGGTGGCATCACTCATGTTCATCATTTTTGGTAGGCAAGTTACTGTTGGAGAGATGAAGGTCAAGTTCGATAAAGGCCCTACGCTACTGCAATGGACCTTTTATGTTTGTTTGTGAACAAGATACCCGTAACTCAAGATGCTGAGGATGGATGGATGGATGGATGGATGGATGGATGGATGGATGGATGGATGGATGGATGGATGGATGGGTGGATGGATGGATGGATGGATGGATGGTGATGAAATTTAGTAGGTGGGTAGGGTTAAGTTAAATTAAGGTCAAGTTTGATAATCTTGTACAATGGACCTAACGTCGTCAACCGATCAAAAGCGTACCTGTTGCTGAGCTTTGTGCATCTTGGACATTGCCTCGACGTCGTAGGGATTCTCCTGTAGTTGTCTCAAGGCCTTCACTCGCTCGCCCACAATTGCACTGATGTTTAGCTGTACAGGAGACACAATGATCAGCAACTTTGTACAAAAGTCACTTTGAATTGTGCAAACTTTGCACTAACTGTCATTTTGTATCAAAAAGCCTATGCATTTTAGGTACATGGGCAGCTACTTACATCGTACATGTAGACTCTATAGCGTATAACTTTTGAAGTCTAACTGATGGAGAACAACCTTGAAATAGGGCCCTTATATGTGGTTTTACTTTAAGCACCAAACTGCACAGCCAACATACTGTAGAACTTCACAGTCTATACACAAACCGATTTAGTCGATAAAGAAAGGAATATTCAAATTACAGAACAAGCCATGAGCATTTCTAAGGAAAATACCACACCTGTATATTATTGTTTGCTTGTGTTTTTGCTGTGGGTTTCACGCTGGCACTCTCCTTCTGTGTTGAGATGAAAAAAGAGCAACTTGGAGTGAAAAACAAAGTTACGGCTAAAACTCATCATTCAAGTCACAGAACTCTAACTACATATGTGTAAACAATGTAATGTTTACCTTTGCGATATTGTATAATTCCTTTTCTTCTCCAAACAAATAAGGTCAATGACCTGAACCAGATGCCTATCACCATGGTAACTTGTGTTGGGTTACATCATGTTGCAATTTTATAGCAGGAGGGATTTAGACTCCTGTCACCACATAATGAATGTGTTTGAGTAACACAGCTTTGCAAATGTTACCTTTCTAGTTTTTTGGGTTTTTTTTCAACAGTTGGACTAGCAAACAAACAATATGTACACACGTACAGGGACATCACAATTACATGTACATAACACACTCGAGTGTTATATGAATGCTAGCAGTTGATTGATGATTCAGTGGTGCATATGACAAAGTATGGCAAGCTAATACATGCTATGCTGTTAATGTAAATGATACATAATATATAATCATCACACATGGCTTGTTTTGTCTCACAGGAAATAAATAAAAAGCAATTACCTGCACCAGAATAAAATTACATGCATCTTTGATCATTTACATGTAACAAGTACAGGCTCCTACAGGCTGGCTCTTAAAATTTAACAAGAAATTTGAGATTTTATATCTCTGAGGTTTTGTAAATTTCTTGTTTTATTCATAATCATAAATTTCTCTGTTGACATCTACATTGTTAATTCATAAACACATTTATATATATGGTCAGACAGGAGTCTAAATCCCTCCTACTATAAAATTGCTACATGATGTAACCCAACACTAGTTACCATGGTGACAGACTTCTGGTTCAGGTCATTGACCTTATTGGTTTCGAGAAGAAGAAGAGAAACAGAGCAAAAAAAATATAACTACCCTTCAAAACTATTCGTGGTAAGTCAACAGTCAAGCAGCAAATTTTTTAATTCAATTTCCATAGCCCCATGACTCCTCCCACCTGTGGTTCTGCCTTAGCCTCAGGCGGTGGTACCGGTAGCGGCGGCGGGCGCTCCACCGAGGGGGTGACGTGGCGGGAGCAGCGGGAGCAGCCGGCGCCGCGGCGGGGATGGCACTCGCCGAGCTCTCCGTGGCGGGAGCGACGGCCGAGGCAGACGAGGCGGCAGCGCCCTTGGCCTTCTGTTTGTCGTCCTTCTCCACCGGCACCCACTCCAGCTCCTTGATACGGTGCTGGGAGCCGCTGGACACGGGGAACTGTTTGGACAGCTCAGCCTTCTGGGCCGCCAGCTGCTGGGCATTGAGAGGTGTCCTCGCTACTGCATCCTGCAGACACACGGGGGATAGTAGTGTAAAGGTTCATCCTATATTCAATTACATGTAGTTTAACCTTTAATCACAGAGATACAGTTGTACATGTAATACTCTAACAGTAGATCAGTATAACAGTCTTTTACATGTATATGTCCCTTGTCATAGGATATTATGAATTGGCAAATAAATTTTAGGAAGAAACATGTGTGCACATTTTGGTGCTTTTAGACAAAAGTGCACAATTGGACTGATATTTCCAGCCATGCTACTGGACTACCCGGTATATGTATAGAATCCCACTCACTTTTATTTAGTACATGTACATTAACTCAAAATGTACGGTAAGTGAATATGCCCCTATCTTCAATTAATTCTTGGATACCAAAAACTCTTAACCCAAAGTTTTCTAAACACTAAGAAGATGACATGAGGTGAATAGGATTTACTAGCCAGACTTTCAAATGATGCCCATAACTATAGGCAAAATGAACTGCAAAATAGACTTTGCATTGCAGCAAATCATGAATGTAAAATTTGATTTCTCAACTTTTCTGCTTACGACCAGCCCATTGTTGCACCATTACCATATACCCTTCCCATTCCTCTCTATCCAACCTGGGATATAAAATATACATCTCTGCCCTACTGGGACACATCATCATAGATCCAATGGCCAAATAGTTCCTTCCAGGGCCGGTTGCACGGAACCTTCTGACCTGACCCCCATTATGGGAGCCAAGGAGAACAGTGGGGATGGGAAGGCAATTGACCTGGGGGTTGGCACTTCTTGCCATTTCTTCCATCCAAGTGGAACTAGTTTGTGCAGAATTTCCCATTCAGACTGCACTGCTCGGAAATGGTTCAGGTAGGAAACTTGAGACAGGGATGCGGCCGTACATACCAATCGTGCCGCCAGGAGTGATAAATATACAGGTAGGGGAACGTCTAGGTGTGGAATTGGGCGGGAAGAGGGTACTTGTCATGCTCTGCACAGTGCCGGTAATAAGGCTATACGTGTTCCTGATGGGTGCAAGAGAGTGCAACAGTTTTGAATCTTGCGTGTCTGAAGAGAATTTCAAGGACATTCTATATCTTTGGCAAAAGTTTCTGACCAAAAACGTGATATGTGCAAGAGTGCAAAGAGTTTTGAATTCTGCATGCCTGTAGCAATCATGTGTCTGAAAAGAATTTCAAGGACGTTCTACGTCTTTGGCAAACAAAATTTCTGACTAAAAACGTAACGTAGCTACTACATGTAGTCTTTCATGGTGATTCTACCAAGACTAGTATGCCTTACACTTCCAGCTATGGCTAGAGTCAAATATCCTGAAAAAAAGGCTTAGGTTCAACAAAAATCATTGATGACCCACTGACCTTGATGTTCATAACAATAGATGTGGAGGTGGCCTTGACCTTGAAGGGATGGTGGATGAAGGGCCCCTCCCCATCCTCCTCCTCTGTTACAGGTTTGTTCACGATCTCATCCTCATCCCCGGCCTTCTCCTTCTCCGACAGAAACTTACAGAACTTGGTCAGCTCCTCCACAGTCTTCCCGCCACTCTTCTTGGCCAGCTCTTCCTCGGGGGTCATGGATGGAATGGGGAGGTGGGCGGGAATCATCCCCGCGCGGAATTGATTGATGGCGTTGGCCTTTGCGATCTCTAACAGTTTCGCCTTGTCGATTCTCTCGGTGGGAGTCCTGGAGCGGGAATGGTTGGGTGACCTGCTGCGGTGATGCCTTTCCTTCGCCCTATTTGGGTACCTTTCCCCCGACCTAGATCTGTGCCTATGCTTCTCGTGGGATCTCGATCTATGCCTATATCTATCATGTGATCCCGATCTATGTCTAGACCTAGATCTGTGCCTAGATCCCTGCCTTGACCTGGATCTATGTCTAGATCTGGATCTGTGTCTGGAACTCCCTTTATGCCTGTGTCTTTCCCTAGAACTTGACCTATGCCTATGCTTGTGATGTCTGTCATGTGACTTTGACCGTGAACGTGAGTGCTTCCCAGAACCCGACCTGTGCTCCTGAGATTTTAACCTGTCTTTGGACAGCGAACGAGACCGACATTCCCCGTCTTCCAAGGAAGAATTAGACTTAGATCTTGACCTAGAAGTTCTTTCTTTATCTTTGTCCTTATCTGAGTGAGATTTACTCTTCTTGATCCTTTTCCCATCCTTGTCCCTTTCATGTCTGTGCTTCTTTTTCTTCTTCTTGTGTTTGTGTTTCTTCTTCCTCTTCTTGGACGCGACTGCCATCTCATCCTCCTCTTCTCCTGAGCTGTCCTCCTCCTCCTCTGATCCATCTCTCACCGCATCCGAGTCCTCCACTCTCGACAGCGACTTTCTGTCTGATTCGTATCTCCTGTCGCTCTCCGAGGAGCTGCTATCCATCTTCTTCTCCTTCCCTTCCTGATTGGGCACTTCTTCTTGTTCACCGCCTTTGGAGCAGGCGGCAGTGCCCACTACTTCCTCCCCTCCCGGTGTGCTCTCAGGCCGTTTGTCTTCAGAGTCCTTGAGAAGGGGGTGTTGTTGATCTGATAAATTCTGTACGGAATTATCAGAAGATACAGCAACGGGCTCTACGAAATCTGTGAACGCCCCATTATCATCTGTGATGATGACTCTGCGCTGATCATTTGGAGCTCCGTTTTCCTTCGGAGAGGCTTCCTGCTTCTCTCTGTAAAAGATAGGAAAGAATACTTGGTAAGTCTTATGTTACACACAAGCTGCTAGCGTGCCCAAAATCTAATCATTATTATAGTTTTGAGCTTTCATCAAGACCTACCCACATACCAATTTTTTGTAGGATTCGTCCATAGCTTCTTGTGCTATCATGCTAAATCAAATGTACACACACAAATGCTACCAAAAAATAACCTTCTTGGCGAAGGTAAAAACAGTGTCACATACATTGTATACATAGATCTTCAGCTTCACTGATGGTACATATACGTGTAAGAATGGAAGGCAAAGTACCACAAAAACATTAGTACAGGTAAGGTTGCCTATGCATAAGAGCATAGACAATAGAACATGTAAAATCACGAATACCGGTACATAATGGTAATACATGACATAGTAAATAGGTGATCTGGAGTGACAGATATGAATGGCAGTCGAGTCAAGAGTCTCTCTTCCCACTAAAAAGGGTCACACTACCAATTTGGACTTTAATCTGGGCAGAGAACAATTACGATTACAATTGCTACAGTTCTGTGGACATGCTCCTTGCTTTGACCTCCCAGATCCATACCCAAGGATTTTTCCCCTGAACACAATTTATATTGGATAGGAACATTGCAAGGTACAGCAATCACCACAGATTTTACATGCTCCTTTACTACATGTACAAGAAGACTGAAACATTACAATCAGACATATACCAATCTATATGTCTGACTCAGCGACTGCTTACTAATAGTAAAACATTATTCTGCTTTATACATGTGTCTGTGATGCTTAATGGTATTGAATTTCTCAGTTGAATAAGCATAATCTTCAGTATAAATTTTTCCCCAGATTACAAAGTCTGCAAACATTAAAATAAAAAATAATATATTAATGACCAAATGCTACATTTCAAGTCAGATTCTTCATGGGAAATGCATAAACTTTAAAAGAATATTGGAAACACATATAACCTGGAAAAAATCAATGTTAACTTTTCGTGTACTGCATTTTGTCAAAGTTAGCGGCGTTTTCTTTTCATCACACATGCTTCATTTCACCGAGAGTTGATAAAAACACAACGGCTATGCCACGCTCGGAGATTGGCAAAAGAAACAGACCAATTTAATCCCCCGGTATTACTGCCAATAAAATTGATCCATGTCTACCTGTGCAAATTAGATTTTACCCCAGGCAACAGCACCAGGTCTCAATCCGGCCCGGCGAGCTGATTGAACGCGTACATGGACATTGCTCTTCAAATTGGATGGGACCTTTGATCCCGACGGTGTCAATCTGTTTCCACGCTCGGTACCAGAGTACGGTCAACGTTACCACGCCAGTTCATGTGTAGTCTTTTTGCATTACCGGAGATGAGCGTATCAGTGAGGTGCAGCAGTCTTGTGTTAAAGTACTGGATGTGAATATTTCTCAGCAGCTTTGGGCCCAATTTACATGGGGAAAACTATTGTTTGTCCTGCATCGAACACTGCACCGTGCATGTTGTGGGACAGATTTTGGCGCAGCGATTTTCATGTGACACGTCCAGGGTGCACAACACGAAAATCGACGCACAGAAAAATGTTGTTTTTTTCTGTCCCATATAAATTGGCCCTTTTAAGTTAATTCGTAAAAAAAGGCAGCCTTAAGGAGTTTGGAAAAGACATGAAACTAGAAGCAAATTATTGCATAAATTTAAAATGATTCCAACAGTTCCTATCATACATGTATATACCAAAAGCACACAATATGTTAGATTCTGTAATATTGCAGGAACAATTTTCGCTGTATTGATTTTAAACCTAGATATATTTGAAGACTTTTATCACATGCTGCTACATACATATTGTGTAATAAAACAATATTGCACCATTGTACATAATATTGATCTTCAAATCTGTACCCAGAATTTTCCTTGTTGCTTCACCATGGTTCTGTTATAATCAACAACATACATGACTGTACATGTATAACACTGTTGTGCATGAGAGGAGATAGCATCATACCAAAAACTTTACGTACATTGCCTCGAGAGCTAGAGTACAATCGGAACATATAACGTTCTTTGTGTATGTGAAGTCAGGCCACTTTACACTCAGGAAAAATTTGACATAGTTTTCGTACCCTCTCGTATGTAGTTCTATGTACCTAAACCCACATTTACAAAATGTAGATTCAGGTCCGGATTCAAGTCCAGAGGTTTAGGTTCAAGCATGGCATATAGGTTACATGTATATTAGGTTAAAACCATGGCATATACAAAATTGCTTGTTGGCAACCTTGCATTGTTGTCCGGGCAAAACTGTGGCCATATAACATGGAGGCCGACACTTGACGATGCCCGGTGGCAATGTTTTCTTTATTTTACAACACAGCTTTTGCAATCTATGGAAAGTCCAGAATTGGTTCTTGCCTTTCAGTTTTTTTGGGGGGACTTGAATCTAAACATTTTTACAAGTCCGTAACCGGTCCAGCGAACCGCTACACAGCACTACTCGTGTGCGTACACAGTTTTTGTCCCATCAAGTTTTTGCCGGCAGGTCTTAGCTTTGACATTGCGAGGACGCTTTATACATGCCCCGTGCAAGTTAGCAGTGAACGTATGCACATAAATACATCGGGCCGCTCGCTGCTTGGGGAAAAGACAGATGTCTTATCATCCCCACCAGACAGCCCAGGTAATTAAAACATCCAAGACACCAAGATGTGCCCTGACAGGATGACGAATTCCCTTCCACCAGATAAATATGAGTTAGGGTATAAATAGCCTGTCTACAAGCTGGGTGCCTTTTCCTGTAGGAATCAGAGGTGAGGAGAGCGGAAAAACTGAACATAGAGGGAGTCTGGCAGCGGTGCTAAACCTAATATTGGAAGATATATCACCAATTTTGGGATGTAATGGAAGAGCGGGACTGAATCTGCTATTCGTAATGTCTGTTGGATGATGTGATGTATTGATGCTGATGCTCTAGGGCTGAGGTGTATAAATTCAGCAGCATTTATCATTTAAATAAAACGGGCCCAATGTGAAGGCCATATGGAGATAACATTTCAAATATAACATTACTTACTTGTATAATTCAGTGACATGTTATAAATAACTATGCAGCAACTATAAGGCAAACAGTTCTACAAAATCCGGTTGGGTTTTGAAATTTTTAACTACAACTGCAACAAATTCAAATAGCAAGCTGCTAAGTTTGATAATGGTCTTCCTAGCGGGTAGGTACGGTACTGCAGTGGAGCTTTAACTCAACCAGCCTTCTTGTACATCCTGTCCATTGAAATATTCCCTCACAGTTCGTTGGGTATTTGACAAACATTGTACATTATTATTATATAATAACTGCAACAAATTTAAATAGCGAGCTGCTAAGTTTAATAACGGTCCTCCTAGTGCACAGGCCACGAAATACGCATCAGTTTTCGCGGGACGTTCTGCGAAATACCGCGGTACGTCCTGCGGTATATCGCGAAACGCCGTGCGGAATATCGCGAAACGCCGTGCGGAATATTGCGGAAGGCCGTGCGTAAGATTGCGGAAGGCCGTGCGAAATATTGCGGAAGGCCGTGCGTAAGATTGCGGAAGGCCGTGCGTAAGATTGCGGGACGTCCCGCAGAATTTCGCAGAACTGTCCACTGGTAATGGAAACGCCGCTGCGAAACTTCTTCTGCGTAAGAAATCTTTCGCAAGATTTCGGTCGTTAATGAGCAGCCTTTGTATTCTGAGATTTACATGACACTTATTCCACCTCATTTTCACGTATTTGTTGATAATTTGTGGACAATACCGGGGATTATCAGCGCGGCGGGTCCACGCTGCCACGGCTGTGCTTGGGCGATTGATGTTTACTATTTGATACGCTGAGTTTGTTCCGATCCGTGTGATTCCAATAAACATCTCACATAACTACGAACTAGTTGGAAGAATGATAGATGCATGAATGCCTGTGTATGATTTAACAAACAAAATCTGACGCTATAAAAAAAACTGTCAGACGCTCTTCTCTGCTGGAACAACGCAAGCTGGAGGTCAATGACCTGCGGTCGAACACGTAATGTGTATCGTCAACATTTTCTGCAAGGCATGACTTCGCCGAAGAAACCACTTTTTAGAATTTTAAGCTTTAAATGCTTCGACTCTGTGGCCAAAAATAACGAAGTTTGATATTGTCCCTGTTTGCAAGGACGCTATATGTTGTAGAAGCTCCTTGCTGTTTGTGATTATCGATTCAGAACTACGTGATACATTTTAGAGCGAGGCATTTTCCCATAGCCACACGCACATATATTATACTTGATCGACAGGCGTTTCCCTTTGAAGAAGTTGCCGCCCCTGCCGTCGGCGCCAACAGTCTAGCTGGGCTGCTCCAATGATTTCGCCCGTCTTCGTTACAAACACAATCTTCACCGACTATAACCGAGGCTCTGTGATTGGTGTCTATGTGACAAATTTATATTCGCCTATCTTCGTTACAGTTCCGATCTTTACCGACTATATGTATAATCTACTAACGTTACTAGTATTATCTAGGTTCTCTATTCGAGTGTACGTGTATAGATTCAGGCGTTCGTTTGTTGTTGCTGACGGAAGACTCGTGGTAATATTCAGAGTCGAACTAACGTTTTTGCATATGAGAATTAATATTATTGTGCCAAGCGCGAAGCATAATTCAAGGGTTCTTTACGCCCCATGGCTTTGTTGACACGCATCAAAAATTGATACATTTCGTTCGCCACGCTGTTGGGCCGGGCGTTCCCACGCACGTCGCCATAGTAACAGCACGTAGCAGCAGCGGCACTGGTAGACTCCCTGGCGCCGCAGACCACGTGGCGTTCCGGCGCGCCAATCACAGCGCGCAGATGGGGAGCCGCCCACCAGCCGGGCCGCAGAAGAGTTGAGACTCCGCCCAGAGACACCGCCTGAAGATTGTTAGACGACAGTAGCTTGTTCCGCCCTGCACTGCCGGCGCGGCTTTGTAATTTTCTTGTCCCGATTTCATCCCAAAA